AGGTCTCACGAACAGCCCTTCGTTTTTAAGTTAATCCCAACCTGCTTTAGTTGGGCCTCAAGGTCCAATTAATGGGCACGGGCTCTTTCTGTTTATCTCAATCAGGATGGCTGATGCCTGATAGCTAGTTCAAAGTTGTTTGGGCCGGATGTGATCTCCTGTAGGAATGGAAAAAAAATAAACAAACTGAAAATCAATTCGATTAGTTAGATTGGATTTGGATTGATTTTTTTTATTAGGTTAAAATTAAATTTAAACATTAAATGTATATATATTAAGTTTAGATTAAATTTTTAATCAGAATATGAAAAATTTTAAAAATACATGAACCAATGGAATTATATATTTTTATTAATTTTTATATATATTTAAATTTGAAAAAATATAAATAATATTTTTATATATATATTTATTTAAATATATTAAAAATCCTATTAAAATAACTTATAAAAACAAAAAAAAATTAAAATTTTAAAATTGATAAATCAAATCGAATCGATAAAATTTAATTTGAATTAGATCAATTTTTAAAAAATGTTCATTTAAATTCTGATTGAATTTTAAGAATTTATGATAATATACATTATCAAAAAAACTAAATAAAATTCGATTAGATCTAAAACATTATTTATCCTTCCACCACTTTGACCATGGAAATAAGAAAGTCTCGATTTTTGTCCACTCTTCACTGTGAAGATCAACTCCCTTCTGGTCAGTTAGCATTCATGGGTAGTTGTGCAGATTCATCACAAAAAGGTTCGGCAAAGATGGTGGTTTTAAAGTGGTCCGTGTGTTGTAAATCTCCCAATCGTGCCATTCTCTTCTGCAAAGATTCATCTTTTCGGGATTTGTCAGGAAAAGGATGCATCCTTATAATTCTTAAATGAGACTTACCAGTTGTGTGTGGAGTGGAGATTATACCACCCTTTTACTGAATCTATTCATCAATTGTTCCGTAGGGCAAGATTATTAAAGTAATCAATGAATTTTAATTGATACAATATTAAATATGAATTTAAATTTAATTTAAAATTTAAAATTTGATTCGATTGAATTTTATTTTTTTTAATTTAAATTTGATTTAAAATAAAAATTAAATTATTTAAACTCTTTCGATTAAATTTAATTAACATATAAAAATAAATTTAATTTGTATATTTGATAAAAATTTGATTATTTATTTTTGAGTTCGAATTTAAATATTTTATTAATTAAAATATATTAAAATATAAAAATTTGATTAGATTCACGAATTACTCGAATCAGATATAAAAATATTTAAATTTGATTCAATCCATAAATCAAATTATTTAAATTCAAATTTGACTCGATAATAATTAAATCAAATTTAAATTTTATTCAAATCAATCCTAAATAATTTATAAATATTAATGTATCGTTTATATTCTTAAACTAAATCACTATCACATTAATTCTTCTTTTTAATCTCTCATTTTGTATCAATTATTGAATATCATGGCTACAAATAGAAAAACAAAGTTTATATATATATATATATATATAGAGAGAGAGAGAGAGAGATGTGTACGCGCGGGATTGTGCGCGTGTCTACGCAGCCGTGAAGCCTGCAAAATTTTAATTTGACAGAAGTCACCCATGGCTCCCTGTTGGGAAGGAAAATGTAGGGCAACCGACTAAAGCCTTTTATTTAAAAAATAAAATAACATGCCAAAGCAGACAAGGCAAAGGTCAACAACACTCGCCAGTTAACATTTTATTTCTTGCCTTTTGTTCACCTTTAAAAGCAAAAGAAAAGGTCTCCACTCTACATTGTTGCCGACTCAATTTCTGAATGAAAACAAAAGCCTTCTCGTCCTTGAACTTAACTTAAAGCATATTATTTTATATTCCTGTTAAATATTGGACTGCTTACCTCTCCCCTTATGTTCTCCAAAGTTTAAGCAAAATTCTCTTAATTTGTCTCTATTTTTCATTTTCTTCAATGAGAAGGGGCTGCACGATCCCTTTAGAATTAAAAATATAATAACATACATATGGAGCAGATTAGTCCTAAAATAACGAGAGTTTAACTAAATTAAGCTGCTAACATCTGTCTCTTGCTGTGTCTGTTCATACAAGTCGTCCAAAGCTTGAGATTTAAGGGGTCCAACGTACTCCAAGCCCTTGCTGTAAGAATCTAATCGCTCCCACTAATTAATCCTTCCTCCCCACCCGTGACACACAGAAACTACAACCCGTGAATTCCCAGGTGACACGTGCCACCTCTTCGTCTTGCCATTTCTCCAACTTCATTAGTCAGATAGCTGCATGTGAATTCTTGTGTTGAAAACTTGGAACTCTGATAGAGAGAGCAGCAGCTTCAACCACCTCTTCTTTCTTGAATCAGCCGATTTGTTTTTGATCGATAAGGTATTATTTAATAGATTAAAAGATTTGTAATAAAAAAAAGTTAAGATAAAAATAATTTTTAATAAATAAGTTTAAGAAAAATCTCTACAAGATTTAAGTATAATATAAAGTTATAAAAAAATTTTAAAATTTTTTGAGATAAATATTTCATAAAATTATTAAAAATTTATATTTTATAAGTATATATATTTAAATATTTATAAATAAATTAAAAAAATTAAAAGAGTTCACATAATATGTATTTATTTAAATTAAAAATATTTTACAAAATTAAAAGAGATTAAAAATATATATAAATATTAATTATGAATGATTACTTTAATTATATATTTATAATTTTTTATTTAAAAATATATATCAATTAAATTATATTAAATTATTATCTTTTGTTTAATTAATTAATTATTTAATTTCACTTCGCCTAATGTAAATATTTAATTGAATTGAGGTTTTTTTCTTTTTTTTGGTCTAACACTCTCCTCCAGCGCAAGCTTTTGCGCCCATTATGTTTTAGAAGGCCCCACGAGCTGCTATCCAATCAATGCAGAAAAAGCTGCCAGGCAAGGGATGGGCCATATACGAACGAAAAGAACCAAGGGCTTAAGTAAAAAGGAAATCCTATGTGTCATATCTCCCAGCCACAAACTCAGCATCAAATCAATGCTTGGGTCAGTCAGGAATAATAAGAAAATAAACGTGCACTACTTTCAAATTCTCTCCCACTAAACCGTAACTTTGAGCCCTTAAAGCCACCCGTGAACCCATTGCATAATTCCCACTTTCTTCAACAAACACTAGCCTCTATAAAAAGCCTCCTTAAGCTCACCCTTTAGCTAAACCAAGCCACATTGTCATTGCTACTGCATTAGTTTCTACCTTAACCCTTCCATATACTACCTTTCTTCAACAAAATACCCATGCATGCATGTTGGTGACTTGGTGCTCTAATTAAATACAAGGTAACTCAAAATTGCCAAACATCTTAATTGAACCTCGTCGACGACGCGTCAGGATTGATTCCTTATAACCTGTGTCAGGTAAATTTTTTGCTCTTGACTAAGGCGTTGGAATTATAAATTCCTTGTTATGTTATGTCATGAGATGTGAAAGTTGGTTTGGAAGAGTTCATTTTTTTTAGGGGGAGTTTTTGGCTTATGGACCATAGAATTTGGATCCACCCGTGAATGGTTTAATTCTCTGTTGTTGTCCACCTACTACATGTTTCCACTTCTCTATGGCCACAAGAGCTAAACAACAACAGAGAGTCACGAGACTTGTTGCTTTTACATCAAAAGCACACATTCATCGACAGATTGCAACTGCTGTTTATTTTATCTTTTTTTTCATCCCCACATTGCCCAAACCAGCTAGCTTATCTAGAGAGAGTTCATGAAAGAGCATTCAGGCCATAAATGGTTTCACATGAAGAATTTAATTCTTAAACAGCCTTTAGTGTAGACAGACTTTTCCAGGGAATAAGAGACAGAATGAGAGAGAGAGAGAGAGAGAGAGAGAGAGAGAGAGAGTGTTCCAATGATTAAAAATTTTACGCTCCTAAATTACATATAGATAGTATTATATGACTCTCATCATGGTTAACTTCTAAATTACTGTTGTGAAATTTACTTTCAATTCCCCTGTGAAACGCTAATCAAAAGCACTATCAGTTCCATTACACTGTCTTACTCTTTTCAAGGTATAAAAACTATAAATCTCTTTTCAAACATGTCATCAAAAATGAAGATTAAAAATGGCTATTAAAAATTCCTCCAGGGCTGGCGGCAATGGCAGATGGTAAGTGCTATTGCTGTTTATGTACTACTACAACATGGGGTGCAATGCAATAGATGAAATCTTTGCCTCTTTGCTTGGGGATGCTTGACACATGAAAAATAATACCTTAAAAGAGTCAAGCTGCAGTTTTGGCACTCCGTTCTCGAAAACATAAGCCGCAAGGTAGTTCACAAGCTTACACTACTGTTCAGAGCTGCACTCTCTTTCTATTTCACTTTGCTAAAAACAACACAAGCTGATAAAAAAATTAAGAAAGATTGAAAAATGAAGAAGCATAAGATCTGTTGACCTCACAGCACATGACATAAAAGCAAAACAGGGGAAATAAATATAATATAAAAAGGTGAGAGATGAACTGAAAGAAATCTCTTGAAGGCTGAAGCACCAAGCCAACAACCTTCTGCCAGATTTGCCACAGAAAGGCTAACCTCCAAAATACCCTTCGAAGACTACATTCCTAGAATAGATTATGTTAAATAAACCAGAACTCGACACGTGTTGAAGTATCACAAAAGAATAGTTTTTTATTGTGGAACTACTGTTTGAGTATAAATAAGAGGCCTCTGCTTAAGCCTTTAGCTGGTCCTTAATTCCTTGGCTTGATTAGCTTACTTCAAAGCGCCAATACATATCTCATTATTTCTTCTGCCTCCTTCCATTTGTTTTTTGAGAACTATAACTTTGAAATCAGATTTATATATTTACTTCCATATTTAAACTTCTGAATTTCAAAGCATTCTGTTCTTCCTGCTTAACATTGATACATTTATCATTCTTGGAAGATTGGTGTGCCTTCAGCTTATTATCTACTGCTAATGGAACTCGCTCGTGGATTTTTGTTCGTTTGGATTTTGGCAATTCTCTCCCTTCATCATTATTCAAGCAATGTGAATGCAAGATATCATTACCACAAGAAGCAGAAAGCGAAAGGGTCCAATGGAGGGTCTCCTCTTTCTCCATCCCCTATTTATGCTCCTGATCCTCAAGGCCATGTTCCATCTTCCCCTGTTGATGTCCCTGCTCCTCAAGACCCTGTTCCTTCAACCCCTGTTGACCCTCCTTATAACCCTCCATCTATTCCTTCAAACCCGTATCCCAATGATCCAGGGAATGCAACAGACTGCATTTTCGACGTGACTTCTTATGGTGCAGTTGGGGATGGTTCTTCCGATGACACTGCAGCATTCAGGGAAGCATGGAAAGCTGCCTGTGCAGTAGAATCAGCCACTATTCTGGCTCCATCAGATAAAGTTTTCATTATCACTTCGACTATCTTCTCAGGGCCATGCAAACCTGGACTTGTCTTTCAAGTGAGAATCTGATCCAGAATTATCTTGTTTTCCTTAACATTCAGTACATTTTAGTTACATTTAGTTTGTGTAGTTCGCTAATGATAGAGGTTTGTGTCATTGAATGGGAAAGGTTGATGGGGTCCTAATGCCACCAGATGGACCTGATTGCTGGCCGACAGCAGATAGCCGCAAGCAATGGCTTGTGTTTTATCGTCTTGATGATATGAAACTCACGGGGAATGGAATCATTGAAGGAAATGGACAGAAGTGGTGGGAACTCCCTTGCAAACCTCACAGGGTAATTACTTTCTAATCAATTCTTCAGTAATTGTTTGTTTCAAAACTAAAATTCTAGATATTGCATCTTCTTTCCCTTGTATTCCTTTTCAAGTTAAAATCATATGCAGCTAAAATTCTTGTGATGTGACCATATAGGGTCCAAATGGTTCAAATATGCCAGGACCATGCGACAGCCCTGCTGTAAGTATAATCGCACCAAATTTAAATTCAGTAACTCATAACGTGCAAACAAACTCATTTTTACTGCGTCTTTTGCACATTTTTTTCAGATGATCCGGTTCTTTATGAGCTCCAATTTAGTAGTCAGTGGCATAAGGATCCAAAACAGTCCTCAGTTTCACATGAAATTCGACGGGTGTGAAGGGGTTTTAATAGAAAAGCTGTCCATATCAACTCCTAAACTTAGCCCTAACACTGATGGGATCCACATTGAAAACACAAAATCTGTTGGAATATACAAGTCAATGATAAGCAATGGTAGGGAAAGAGGAACTTGTCTTTTGTACTCAATTAGACAGTTATTCATACGTACACTATGTTTTTGTATTAATTATTCCTACGTAATAATGCAAGACTAATGATTTTAAACAGGAGATGATTGCATTTCGATTGGTCCAGGATGCTCAAATGTAGACATTGAAGATGTCACCTGCGGGCCTAGTCACGGGATCAGGTATATGTTCCCCTTTTGTCAATAAATGAAATTGGAAACACCTTGGCTCTCGGCTAACTACTAATTCACTGTTAAAATTGTTCAAAATCCTATAGAATCTGATGATGTCTGCAAAAGTAAGCAAATTGAAAAAGAAAAATGACTGGTAGCCCCTATTAGCAGTGGCGAATCCAGGGGGGCCAGGCCTCGGACCCCTTAACCATTTGACTCACCGTTTGGCCCCCTTTTCCATTAGGCTGGCTTCGCCTCTGCCTAATTTTAATCAAGTATTTCCTGCCTCATTCACTTTTAGTTGATGAAAAGATAAAAATTACTTATCGTAGGAACAAATTCATGTGCACATAAGGTCGGTCTCATCTGTCATTTTCTAAAGTAAATGAAGACATCAACAGTTGCTTTTGAGCTATTAATAGTTGTTACGTCTTAAAATAGTTTGATCTTAAATAAAGAAAATTGAAAGGAAGAATTTGGACATGAAGAGAAGGAAAGAAGTGGCGTCATACGGTTCCAAAGTGGACCTCAATCAGTTATTATCAAGAAAACTTACATTTTAGATTGACTTAACTGAACCTGGTTTATTAATTCTGCAGCATTGGGAGCCTCGGTGTGCATAATTCCCAGGCATGTGTTTCCAACATAACCGTCCGCAACGCATTCATAAGAGAATCAGACAATGGAGTAAGGATCAAGACATGGCAAGGGGGCTCGGGTTCTGTATCAGGCATATCATTTGAGAACATCCAGATGGAGAATGTTAGGAACTGCATTATCGTAGACCAATACTACTGTTTAACAAAGGCTTGTCTGAACCAAACCTCAGCAGTTTATGTGTCAGATGTGCAATATAGGAACATTAAAGGCACCTATGATGTAAGAAGCACTCCAATCCATTTCGCATGTAGCGACACGGTGGCCTGCACAAACATAACAATGGCAGAAGTTGAGCTTCTGCCACATGAAGGAGAATTGATGGACGATCCATTTTGCTGGAATGCTTATGGAATTGAAGAGACCCCAACTATTCCTCTCATTGGTTGCTTACAGGAAGGGATGCCCCAGACAATAACAGAGACCTCTCGGTATAGTTGCTGAGAAGTCCAGATTTTAGTTTCATATTGATGATGATTATAATATAGAAATACTGTATAAAGCCCGAGTGGAGAGGGGACATTATCTGAATATCCGTTTGATGGGTTGGTCTTGTTACTTTAGCCTTTAGGTTTCGTCCCTGCTAGGGTTGTTTTTCCCTTGTTGTGTGATGAGATGTACTAATAGAAAAAAAAGCCCAAATGGGTCTATATTTTGCTGGCCCTGGGGTTGTAGTGGTTTGGGTTTGTTTTACTCTCACATATATATATTAGAGAACTAAACTTCATTTTAGTATATAAAAAGATAATTTCTTAATCATTGGTTAGACTTAAACGGGTTAAGAAATGAGTCATTTACTTTGACATTAATGATAAATTTTAGATATATATGACTTCGTGAATTTTAACCTAAAAATAAGTAGAAAATATGCAAAATCCTTTATACTTTCAAAATAAAAAATGGTAAAATAAATAAATAAATAAATAATAGACAAAAGGGTAAAAAAAGCCTAAACTATAATTCAATAATAATCCAAGCCTTTCTTTTTATTTTTATTTTTATTTTTTTTTCAATTAATTAAACCTTCAAATATCTATTTTCATCAATTGAGTAAGATAATAGTTAATTGTTTCCATCCAATTGAGGGTTTAATTGAATGAAAATAAATGTATAAAATTTAATTAGATGAAAATAAATATTTAAATGTTCAATTAATTCAAAATAAAAGATTTAAAACTTAATTAATTGTAATAAAATATTAAAAACTTATATGATTATTCAATTTTTGTTAGAGGGTATTTTTGACCTTTGCGCCAAAATAATATAATATTGAGCCCGATGTTCGGCTTACATGGCTCAGTTTTAAAATTTATCAGGCCTACTGGAGAAAATACAAACTAATCTATCAGGCCCAAGCAGCCCAGTATTAGACCCAACTCGTAGCCGTCTCCTGATCGCCGCTATCGTTCCAGGAAGCGGTAAGCCACCTCTTCCCTCTGACTTTTCCCGTTTCCTGGTTCGAACCGCGACTCGAGGTTCGATCTTCTTTCTTAAGCAATTCATTTTTTTTAGCAGTTCAGTTTCCTCGATTGTTTTATTTTTTATTCAAAATTGTGTGAATTATTTGATCAGATAACTATTTCAATTTGCAACTTTGAAACATATTGGAAGCTGAAGAAAAGAAAAAACAATGCCATCTCTCCAAACAGCTTTGCCCCCTGAGCTTGCAAACAATGTGATTAGAGTTAGTATCCTTCCATTCTGTTGAAATTTTTTCTTGTGATGCTTTTTTAATCTCTGATTGGGGTTTAATTGTGGGTTGCAGCTTTACCGGGAGTGTCTTCGAAGAGCTAAATACATAGGGCATAAGGTAACCTCAGTTTTCTTCTGTTTCACTATTTGTGTGCTCAGATGAGTAGTTCACTCTATAAATGTATTAAATTTTAACAATTTTGAGAGCATTTGTTGTTTTAGTTGTTTATAGTGTGTTTGGTACATAAGATTTTAATAGAATAGAATAAGATGATATTATGAATAGGATTAGATTAAATAACGTAATCTTATCTTGTGTTTGATGCATGCAAGGATTAGGATTCATCGGATAATTTTATTTATTGGTCAAAATTATTCTTCCTTAAAGTTTATACAATTTAAGTTGTTAATGTAATTTTTTAGGAGTATAATAGGACATGTTTGTTCAATCCCTTTAATTAAAAGTAATACTCTCCACTTTGGGAGGATTGAATCATCTTATACCAAGAGGATGATCAATCGTCCTTACAATTCTATCCCTTTCTTTAGATACAAATCAAATATAGTACAGGGTGATTATCATCCTATGCACTAAACATGACCTTACTGTATTGTTTGTTTCGTACTTTGATATCATATACTGCTTTCTCATGAGAATTATAACAGAAGAGAAATGCAGACTAATTGTCATGTTAAAGTCCAACCTGATAGAGGCCTTTAGTTCCATTCTCATCATTCTTAATATGCTGATTGCAATTGAAGTCTCTGAAAAAATATTTCGCAGGATCACCATAAATAGGTCTTGACTGGTTATTTTTAAGACTTTATTTGCTTGGATGAGGGGACTCTACCTCCTACTTAATACTCCTGAGAAAAGCAAGGATGGGGGGGAAGATGATTGCATTTACCATTGATACTACTTAATAGCTCTTATGCTGCCTTTGGTTGCCATACTCACTCACTGAAAAGGAAGAAATGTCATTCTACAGTTGGCATTTACAGAGATTTGTGGGTTCAAAATATGTTATAGGAATAAATAATTTGGCAGTAATCATTCATGGACCCATGTTTTGTTGATCCACCATGTCATGAATAGCTTTCCAAGGTATTCTATTCATTTTAGCTTCACAGCTGCCAGGGACTTAATTCCTGATATTTAGCTCAAAATTAACTTTTGAGTAAACTTTACAAGGTTTATAGGCATGTACTGCAAATCTGCTTGTAAAGGATGATGTTTTATTTTATCAAGCGAATCTATAGAGATCTATGGATCTAGTAGAACAATTTCGATAATGGTGCAAAAATTTTGGATCAAGAACCTGTGCCTTCAATCTTTGAAAGGCTTTCTATGTAGCTGAGGGTTGTAACATTAGTGTTGTTTACATGCGTACTTACATAGGCTACTAACATCATGAAACTGAAGGATGCACCTTTTTTTTTTTTTAATTTTATCTCTAATATATTGTGAACATATGGAAATTAACTTCCAGCCAATATCTAATTTACCATGCAGCAACATAATACAGCATTGGTTGTTGATATGGTGAGACAGCAGTTTAAAAGGCATATGCATGAGACAGATCCAGAGAAGATTCAGAAGTTGAAGGATGAGTAAGGCTTAATTTGCCTTGTTTCTTACATTTTTAAGCCATATATTTGTGGGATCTGCTTGGATTGTAGTAGAAGAATGTAGTTATATATTGATGGTGTATTACAATAGGATAATCTTTTTATCACTTTGGCTAGAATTTTGAAGATATGTCACTCTATATCATCAAGCTGGATCAAAGGAGATATGTGTGCATAGATGCATGCTTCATATTGAATTTCAACTCTTTCCCAAACTTTGAGCATTGTTTCTATTTGTGTTGTTTGCTTTTGCAGTGCTGCAAGGGGACTAATAAATCACATGCTCTACGAATCTGAGAAGCTGTCTGGACGAAAATTCAGTAAGAGATCCTGACAGTGTTGGAGTTTTTATTTGAGATATCGGTGTCGAACAAATTTATGACTGCTAAACCAAGTAATAAATATAGGCTTGAATTTTGGGGTTCCTAATGGTTTTCCTGGTGTGATGCATTATGTTTAATGAAACTTGCCTGAGTTGTTTACTTAATATTTGGTGTATGATGCATGATACTAAGGTAGTTGCAAGTTATGTGGGTTGAAGATATTGCATCATCTTGTAAGGATCCTAGTGTTCCTTTTTCCTCTCTGCGTAATGCCTGTATCATACGTCATTCTATTAGCATTGCAATCCTCCACTGAGTTATACATATATATAATGGGAGAGGCTTGCATTTTCGTTTCACATTTTCTTGAATACTACCTACAAGATCTTATTCCTTTCTGTTACAATTTCGAAATAGATTTGAGTTTGGCGTATATTTGTTTTAGAAGCATGAATATATACCATCTGTTCTCTATTGAGTTGGTACCTGCCAAGTGAGCTGCAAATACAATCCTCAGAAAAGTGATATGAATCTTGAAAACTGCTACACCCAAGTTCCTATGTAATCAAGGCCAAGGGCCCAACATGAAATTCACATTCATGAAGAGAAACACGAAAAATAACTATGGCCTCAATTTTCAATTCGATGACATTCCATCGACGTCTAATTGTCCTTGCCTTTGCCTTTCCAAAGTGAATTGCTTCATGCTTTAGCTACCTAATGATTCATTCCACGCTGTAGCATTGCTCTCTTTTCGTCGGTTTCTGGTCAGTGGATGTCTCGTCTTGCGGATGATTCTCATTCTTATCCACAATGGCAAAGCGGCATTGACCAATCTCAAAGTATAGGGTGCTTTAATGATTCCTGGAAAAGTGCTTGCCACCTCGTCGTGGTTTATAGTCTTTCTACCAAGGTGATGAATGGACCATTGAAATCTTTTTGTCCACAGTTACCAACTATTTCTAACCATGAAGTAACTTCACATTTCAGTTCTAATATTTAAAGAGCATCGAATCATTGACTTTTGTTGTTTTTCTCTAAGGAGTTTGGCCACATGACTTAACCCAGGTCGCTTTGAGGTTCTTGTTTTTCATGGTAGACAAAATGATGGAATTTAATTCATTTTCAAGACTAACTACAAGGGGGCTTTTAAAAGATGGTTTTGTGACAAAAATGTACTACTAGAATTGACAGAAGCATTTCTCCTCAGGATCACCGGATCAGCTAATAATTATGAATATGTTAAACAAAGCAGGGTTTCCTTTTTATCCTTTTTATTAGTTTTTCCATTACCTTCTAGGCCCTTGCCTTTGTCCATCTCGGAGAGGCACTGTCGACCAGATCAGATGAAAAGAAGGTATTGAATACAAATCTTCTATTTTTAACTAGTAGCAGTATATTTTGCAAAAGTCATAGCCAAAACCAGGGGCTTAGAAAAACTGTAAAACTGAGGGAAATGCATTGCATTGCAGACTTCCTCCATGCTCATTAAACTATTCTCTGCCTATATCTTTCTTTTGGCAGCTTGGTCCATTGCTTGCCAATTGATGTCATAGCCCTAACCACCTTTTCCTAAAATCGATGGCCTTGCTTCGTTAGTTCTTGGACTGAATGGCCCTCTTCCAACATTCCCAGGACTAGGCTCCCTTCTCAGTTCGTTTACTCTGGGGCTGTACACCTTTTCTGAGAAACGTGGGCTCTGAAGGCTCTTGAATTCTTTGGAAGGTGTTGCAGTGGAGCTTGTTACCTTTGGGCTACACATGCGTCTGATCTCACCCCTGCTTCGTGTAATCATTCCATCTAAAATCTCTCCATCATCAGCAAATGAAGCTGTCCTCACCAGCTCTCTTTCCTGCTGTAGAAAACCAAAAATGGGCTCAGTCATTTGTAATGGGATGTAGATCAGCTTAATATCCTATCCATTTAAATTTAGGTCAACTATTGCATAGCATTCAAAGGCACTCTAATGAGAACTATAACCATTCTTTGTGTTGCCGAACAGGAGTTAAAGAATTATGAGAACTTACAGTTACAAGGTTGAATGGTACAGCCGGTGACTCTTCATACTCTGCAGCATCCAAATCCTGAAGGTGTGCCCCTTTGAAAAACTTGGGCAAAATGTATTGTCTCACAGGAACCAAAAACATTATCATTAATGGGAAAAGAACCCCAGCAATTGGGATCCAAGTAATCCCAAAACAAACAAACAAGTAAGCAGTCTGGAAAATTGTAAATACTGCAATTGTCTTGAAAGGTACCGTTTCCACAAAAGTGGCATGGTATTCCTCCAGTACTCTGAAACAATTTATTGATTAAATAAGCAGGCTTGACAAATGTGATTCAATTCAAACTTATAAGTACTCTTCAAGATGATAAAGTTAATGGACTTCAGAGGTTACTTGTATCTTCTACTTGGAGCTGTGAAGAGCAACAATATCCGCTCCCAGAACTGGTTCCCTGGCAAGCTTTCAATGGCCATGAATGCAAAGTAGCCCCAAAGCACAGAGGTTGGGATCCTTTTAATGAAAGGCATTGCTGCAACACATCCTCCAACCATTATAGCTTGAAGCAAGTTACTGAGCCGCTGTTCTTTTACCTCGACCGGCAGCAAATCATCAATTTCCTTCTCAACATCAAATACTGTCTCATCAACTGGGCCATTAATATTTCCCTTCTTTGAAGCCATTTGAATGGTTGATTCTTTCAGTTCCTTTAATCCCTGTTCAGAAAAGAAGTTTAGGCTGGGTTACTCGATCATCAGGATAAATGATTCTGGAATTTTTGGGTAAAAAAAAGTAAAATAATGTCAGTAGTAGAATTTATGTGAAGGATTCATTATAAGTCAGTACCTGAGCAGAAGGTTCTTGGTAAATCAGTGGTGTTTGCATCTGTTGATAAGCTTCTTGCATGCTTTCATACACTTGTCCTAAGCTTGCATTCTTATGCATACATTTACGGGCTGTTGCTAATAGTCTCTTTCGAAGCAACTGTGCAGAAAGAAAATACTTTTTAATCTATTGACATTCATGGCCATGACATGAAGAACAAGGAGGCTGTGCCACTTGATAATACAAAAAGGATAACTGTAATTGGATATAAATACCTGGTGCTTTAATGTAGCTAAGCTTTTAGTATGCATTGGAGATTGTGGAATGACTCCATTTGCAGGAGGGATGCCAATAAGACCACATATTATTGTCTGCCATCAATTAAAAATTTACATGCTTAATTACCGGAGTGAACTCGATGCAAAACACAATAAAAGTAGCAGAAAATGAAGTGCACATCAAAATGGAGAAGATATGGAACAGGAAGTCCATCTACCAAGAATCCCAGAAGAAGTAAATCGTAATGAAAAGAAGGTGGTTTCCTCAAATTGAATTCCTTCTGCTGAGCAAGTTGTGAAGCTACACTGTGGTCAAAATAGTACAGGACGGCAATCATTGTTGCTGGAATGAAAGCTCCAATTATATAGAGCACTGGAACCTTTAGCATGTCCTGTTAGTTTTTACATTTAATCATCATTCATCAATATGCCTTTCTTTGTTTTTTTTTTTTTTTTTAAATGGAAATAAATTTTCAGACAAGACCTAAAACTATGGAAAAGAAAACAATCAATCATGCCAAGTAAAAAAAGATAACCGAGTTACCTTAATGACAGTCCAGTTCTCATATGCACCTGGTGACCATGGATTAGGACTGAAGAGGCGCCTTGGGATTCCTTTGGGAATAGTTCCTGCTGGTGTATAAGAAACAGCAGTCCAGACCAGAACCATCAACGGCACACCATAGTCTGCTATGAAGCCTCGCAATGACCCTTTGGGGAGATAAAGATAATTGAGTAAATTTTCAATAAGCTTACACTTAATAGACATGCAGGTTATTCACTGGTCGATCTCTTCTTGGGCATGGACTTCAGACATTTCCAAAGTAGAGTGAGAAGTGGAAGGCAATTCCTTACCCCTCCCTCAATTAAATAGTCTCTACACTAATAGAATTTAGGCAAAGCAAAAATGTGGTGCTGTCTTTGTTTTCTCTTATCTTTGGTTATGGCAGGGTCCAAAGGATAGAATGAAAAACACAATTAAGAGATCAAGTGAAACCAAATTTTTACGGGCTTGTTGGATAATGGCCTACGATAGCTAATGAATTTTGGTCATGAGAGTAATTTTTTTTCTTTCTTAGATATCTATGTAGGATGTAACAAAAACTCAAGCAACTGGGAATGGTGGGACAAGAAGCATGTAAGGATACTAAGAAAAACTCACCAGATCCATATTGCCAAGACCGTGCTTTTCGGCTTCTTAATGCAGTAAGCAAGAGGCCAAATGATAAAACCAAAGCAAACATCCCATTTGCAAATCTCCATGAAGGTTGAAACTCAAGCAACTTTGGATTTTTTCTTTCAGGTATGCGAAACTCGTCAACAAGTCCCTAATAAGCTCAATTCAATAGTTTATAGTTTGAAATTAGTTCAATAGAAATGAGTAATTACTGACTAGCATATTAACAACTAAAGAACTCAGTTCTGTCTGGTAAAAAATTCAATAAAATCATGACTACTGGAGACACAAAAAGGCTGCAAGCAACTTTAACCTTTTATTTCTTTGCCTGAAAGGTGTAAGATAGAATAAAACAAGGATATCTCTCACCTTTATAGCTTGCTGCATGAAGAGCATTGCAATAAGAAGGCCAAACAACTCCCCAGCAAGACGTGTAAATCTGTTGATGATGGAGCAAGCTCCTAAGATAGCCAGCAGGAACAGCAAGATTGCAGTCCACACACATACCCTGCATGTCCATAAAAGCTTTACTGAATATTATAAATTTCTAAGGCAGGTTAAATTGCCGTAAAAATCAACCATATGCCTGGAGATAAAAGTCAGGAGCATAAATAGCATCAGCTTTATCTGCTAGCAAGAAACGAAGAAGTTACCATCCAGTCCAGGCAAGAAAGAGCTGTGATCCCAAATCTGGCCTATTCTTGGCAAAATTGAACATAAATGTGTACATAATTACAGTTGGCTCTGCAACTCCAAGGATCAGTAAAGGCTGCCCTCCTATGATAGAGTGTATTATTCCACATAGTGCAGTGGAGGCCAATGTTTGAACTGCTGTGAGAACCCCATCTGTCAACATAAAGGGACAATGAAGAACAAAATAAATATATAACAATTAACAACATATGCTAATAAGTTCTTATTTAGTGAATCAGTCATTACCATTCCATTTTAGGCACAAGTTTTATCTCCACTCCATACATTAAGCGGAAAAAAATTAAACAAAAATGTATATTTTTACCAGTGTCTCTTTCCAACTGTTCTCCAAATGAAATAACTGGAATTGCTGATGCAAAAAATATATACGTGGTGGGGGCCAAAATCCTACAAAGAAATATACAATTATAAAGCCAACATTAATACCAGTGGTGGCAAAAGTTAGTTGCAAATAATATGATCAGATGCTTTTTTTTTTTGTTTGAACCATTGCTAATCAGATAATCCTTAATTCTATAGTAATATGTAGTTCTGCAATGTCTGTCATGAGACATGACAAGAGAATGAGGTACCTGAAGCCTGCCCTGAGACCACCGGTCCAGTCTTGCTTGTAGCACTGCTGTCTCCCTCGAAGGTCATTCTTGATTCCACGAAATGGTACAAAACTCTCTTCCATTTTTCGTCGTGCAAACTGCAAACTTGGACAACTAAGCGCTCTCTTGAACTATTGTATATATAAGCTGGTCACTGGACATACACGAACTTAAATCTGTCGAGAAAATAAATGCACATAGCAAAATCAACTCAAGCCTTTGAAAAATGCTATAAAAAATATGTTGCTACAAGAGAACCCAGATAGAGATTCAAATTCTACATATAAAAACACACAAGAATCTGAAAAGAAGAATCTTGACAGCATTACATCAATATTCAATTTCAAGGAAACACTTTAAAACCCAAAATAAGAACGCTCAGCAAATTTAAAAACGATTGAAGCATTGGGTGTTTAAATTGCAGAAAAAACAACCCTTTAGCTTACATTGAAGATTTAGCTTATCATATAAATGTGGACACAGACCAGTGTTACAAGGAAAGCTCCAAATATATAGGCCTGAATTAGGGAATCTGACTATATACTTTAAGGCTGATGCCTGTTGGTAATGTGGGTCGAAAGAGAATGAAAACACATCACCGTCAATGCACAACAGCAAGAAAACAAATACTACTACAACATTAAACCTTGTAGGAAAGAAAGTTCAAAAAAGTTACTAGTAGCTTTCAAGAAAAAAAGATATACATAAATGAAAAGGATGATGTGGAAGAAAAAAAAAAAACAGGATATTCAAAGTAGCCCCACTGTAGAATACTCACCAATCCACCAATGCAAGAGAAAGGAAAAAATGTTGGGTTTTTTTTATCTTTCCTTGAAAAGAGAAAGAAAGAGATTTTTCAGATGATAGACTTATCGCGCTTTATAATTGGACATGACAAAGAGAGAGAGTGCCAATCCATGACAAGCTGTCTTGCAAAGAAGCACCCAGGACGTAGATTCTTGTCTAATCTCCACACTATATTTCTTATTGTTGATTTTCCTTTCTTGGTAATTGAATAGTTTATCCTATTTTTCTGATAAGCCATTGAATAATTTATGATGAAATAGAAAATTTTATCTTTTTTTTTTTGTATAAATACTGTATCTTAATTGAAGAACAAGCTGCTGAAAGTAAACAGTGGAGCTTTGATTTAACTCATCCAAAATGAAACAACTACAAGTTGATATAGTAATCAAATGATATTTTAGTGCCAATCATAATCATGTCTTTTTTTTTTTTGTATGGTATAATCTTAGGATGCAGATTTGATATTTTTCATATTGTTCATGAATTTGGGATGGATTCTTCTTCATGTTAGTGGTTGAGTCAAATCCAAAACTTTTTATCATTTTCCTCTTTCTTTTTGTCTTTTCAAATTTGGAAAATACCAAGTTTTAGGACTATGGCAATACTAGTCCACTTTAAAACAGATAAAACCAAGAAAAAGGTTTTTTTAAATTGCTTTAGTAATTAGCTAATGAAGAGAGAAGACAGGATCAGGTGCTGCCGGTGCCAAACTTTTGGTATGAAATCAACCTCTGAGGCTATGACACGGGCCAAAATTAAAGGTTTTTTTTTTTTTTTTTTAAAATAAATGCTCAATTTGGTCCATGAATTGTGGGATTTGTAAAAATAAAAATATGATTTTTTAATTTTAACAAATAAGGATGACATTTATTTATTGGTTTATTTTCTGAGGTTTTGGTTTCCAAGAAAATAAAAATAATAAAGAAAAGGAGGGTCCAAGGACAAATGTCGCTAGATTGAAAGAAATGTTTAGCTTAATATACAATAATAAAACATCCTTACCCTTGTCAATGGCCCTCATCATGATCTTCCTTATTGTTATATTATTTATAATCATAATAAAAAGTTTAAGCCTTGGCATCTTAATCATCCAGGGTGGGGTTATATATAATAATAAAATAAAATAAAATAATTTGTTATTTTTGGGCAATCCTAGCTGTTGGCCCACCGAACATACTCGCATGTTGCATTTTGAGGTTCTAAAAGGCCTAATAGACCAAACATGTCTACTCCAACAAGGCCTGGCCCACTCATTCCTTGGTTGGTGACGGTTTTAATTTTTTTTTTAATATCTAATTTTTCTTTAAATTTTTTATCTTAAATATTACTCGTACATAAATTTTTTTGAATTCAAAATATTCAAATACCAACTCAAGTAATATATCAATTGATTTAAAAAATAATGAGCGTTACGATTTTAATTTTGAGTTTAAGAGTGACTAGGGAAATGCTTTTTCAATTCATTAATTTTGTTTATGCCAAAAGAAATATTTATCATTTCAATTTGAGTGATAAAGCGTGGCCGAAGCATAAATATTGCCATCAGTTTATCACGTATGCATTGAATCATGATGATGATCAGTGGCCCCTTTAATTTCCTTTTTTTTTTTTTTTTTTTGTCCTCATAACTGTTGGTTGTTGTTGACTTTCTTGATGAATTCTGGCATCATGTCTTTCCCACAACAATGCCATTTGCCTCCTTTTAGGGTGCTTCAGCCCACGCCACTGATATGCCCGGAGCACTTGCTTTAGATATTGCTAGAAATCTCATTTCTGAAGCATTTTTCATTCTTTTGGATTTACATCCTTAAAATAATTTCTCATTCACATGCTTTACACAGGGGACACAAGGCAACTTGATCTTTAATCAACCATGAATAGAGTGGAGAACCTGTCTTAATTACTATATATCATTCATCATTATATAGCAGAGAACATCAAAGACTCAAATGCTAAAGAACAAGGGCAGTCCCATCTATCATCTGCCCTTTGGAAACTAACTTATCTGTCATCATAATTGGATGGCCATGATCCATATTCATTGAACATGTATGGTAAGAAGTTTGATTATCTTGTAATTATTAGTAAATATCCTTAAACTAAATGAATTATATACTTTGATCCATTAATGATTTCATTTTATAGACAAGTTTTTTCATGCTTCAACTCTTGTTGGTATTATTATTATTATTATTATTATTATTATTATTAAAGGAGCGGGAGTGGGATATGGCCAATGCCATGCCGCAAACCCGTACTATCACTGATTCACAAAGTCGCTTTTGAGGATTCCCTCATTGATTTTGCCTCCCACAAACTCTAATTTCCATCATTAATATAATTATCCAGGGCCATACACAGATACATCCATATAGCTCCATGAGTATGTTTAATCCAATGATTCGACGACAGACTGATTCTTATTTTCAAAGGTAGGTCGATTATCTTGTCAGCATCGACATTTACCTCAACTAACTAGCAAAAAGATAGGCTATTCTACCTTTTGCTGCAGTTGATTTCGTTTTTTGTCCAGCTTATTTAGAGGCAACACTGATTACAGTAGAAAAAGTAAATTTTGTTGAATGAAATTTAGGACCCGATTAAAGTTGAACCCTCCAAGTAATTTTAGATGTGCATTCCACATCAGTTTGAGAGGAAATTTGTGGTTGTTAAGGAATCTAGTCGTTCTGTTTCTGTCTTTCTTTTCCAACTCCCAGCGGAAGGTGGAAACCATATGGTTTACTTGATAAGACAAGCCAGTTCTTACAGGACTCAAGTTCGAGACACTCCCAGTTCACCTGAGTGGTCGTTTTGGGGTTGTAGTAGGGGTTTAAGGTTTTATAGAGATTGAGATTGCATAAACAGTAATAATCCTTCCAAAACAAAATTAAAGATTAACAAGGTCAAGGGGTATACTTATGATTAACCAACATATAGGATAACAAGGACAAGGGATCATAGTTAGCTCCTCCTCTCCATCATACTTCTTACACGTTGCAGAACACGAACAAATTCATTAAACATGGTGAAGTCAAAACCTGGTAGCGTATCATCATCAGGACCCTTCATGTTAGAGTTTTGACAGATTACCAAGTCAATACCCCCTAACTTATCAATGAGGCCCTCAAGTCTTTTAATAGTTAGCTTTTGAATATCTTCTATCAGCACCAACTCCCCAGTTTGTTCGGTGCTATGCCACCAATTCCTAAGAATCCTTTGCTTAGCTTCAGAAGTCTCTACAGAGACAACACCCTTCAACTGGATGCCGAGCCGATGTAAAGCAACCACAGCGCCACCGATGCCACTAAAAACAGATAACATTGTTAACCCTCCAGGATATATTGACTTCAAAACAGAGAGATGATAACCCAAAGTGTCGGTTTGGAAAGATTGCTGGAGTAATTGTAGCCTTTGAGTCAAGTCATTCTCCAAAGCTTGAGAGTGATTCGATGGGTAGCCTAGAATGTGCTCCCAATGTTCAGGCTGCGCAAGACTAAGATTGTATGGGCCAATCCATATGAGATTTGAGATTTGGCATTGACGAAGAATATATTTCTGCTGATCTGATGAGAGTATTCCTCGAGAATCAGCTAATGTCTTCCCAAGCCTATCACAAAGCTTTGATGCTCCCAGAACTTCAGATCCCGTGCAACTCAACTGCTTCCTTGTATCCCAAGATGGCCACCACTTCTTTGTATGCGGTATTGCATCCTGTATGGTCAATGGTGACTTCGGAAGGATGTGAAACCTGTTTCCAGCTGGAAGATTGTGCACATAGCCTTCTTTTCTATTAAAGGCTGAGAAGAGCTGAGTGCTCACAAATTCAGGCTCAATCCCGTACAAGAACTGTGAAATCTTGGCCCAATCATCATAAGACAAATTGACAACATTTCCATAAAAAAAGTATGGAGGTTTGGCTACCATCTTGTCCACACTCTTGCATGAATTGGATTTGAAAGCTCTGGGCATTTCAAAACTGGTGATATTAGGGTCTACTTTCTCTTCAAGCCACGCTGGATCAAGGAAAGAACTTGTATTATCTACATAGTCTTGCTTTGGCCTTTTCCCTTTGTGTTTTTTCTCATGAAAAGATTGCTTGACCTGAGGAATAGAAACTGGGAAGTCATCAAAACTCTCTTCTTTTGGTCTTTTGCCTTTGCAAGATTCCCCAAGGTTAATATTTCTTGACTGAGGAACAGCAGTGGAACTGCAATCCTCAGTTTTAATATCTACTGTATCATACGAGTTATGTATCGACCCTTGGCCTGAACCTGCTGATGTGAACTGCACATGACAATGTAAAAGTTTCTTTACTGTGAAAACCAGATATACTATTGCAGAAGGATAATCTTATTATAGAGTAAAGTGCAGAAAAATAAACAAATTCTAAAGTAGTATTTTTGAGTATTAACTTTGATGAATGCACAACAATGTGCATTGTACATTGAACATGCAGCATATCAACTAGTAAATTTAATATCAAACACTACAATGAACAAACCTTTTTACTCTCAGTGAAGTTACCAGAAAGATGACCAGTGAACATTGCATCTGCAAGCTCTGCAATTGGAACTTCTGAACCTGCAGAACAACAACCAACCAACAATTCAACATCCAAAGTAAGATCAATAACAGAGATGGTCCTATCATAGTGGAAAATAAAAATGCAAGTGAATTGATCTGCATCTACAGGTTAGATAAATACAAAGGCACAAGTCAAACGAATTTTAAGCTATAAAGCAAAGGCTGCAATACATATAAACGGAAACAAGAAAAGACTGCATTACTACTAAAACCTTTATTTAAACAATAACTGGGATCCAAAATATGAAGTGCATTTTTAGTCCCAAACTAGCTTCACACGACATGGTACCCTACAGATCTAAGCAACATAACCAACTCAGGATTAAGAAATGGAGAGTATGCTTTATATATTTCTACTTACCGAACTTCTCAATTGCTATTGAAACCTCATTCTCTGAGAAACCCATCTCAAGCAAGCGAAGTGTCTTCTCCATAGTTCCAAACAGAGTTTCATTAGTAACATTCTGGTGATCACAGGGTCAAGTAAGTTATTAGCTACTCTTGAAATGATATGAAACAGAGAAATCACCACTTTTTTTTACCAAAAAAATGCTAAATTTAATTATACTAATGTTACCAGGAATATTATATACAAATATATAAGACCATTACCAATTTCCTTCACAGCTTGAACTAGCAAAAGAAAAACACTACATAACAAAAATTGTAACAGGAGAACACTGATCAAATCAATCAGTATAACTAAGACGATCATTAAAGACCTGATCCTTTTCTTCCTCACTGCTGAGTGAATCTTTCGATTCCTCCTCAAGTTTTTCTGCTATTTGAGCAGCGGAAATGAAGTCAACTAATTCATTTAGTGGAGCATCTTCACCTGAAATTAGAAAAGGTGATAAAAGACAACACCCTACATAAATAAACCTCAAATAAAGTAACTTCTCCGCTCTTCTTCTTTATTAAAGTTCCAAAATAATATTAGAAACAGAAATTAATTGAATGACAGCAGTGGTTGAGCCCGAGGTGCCAAAAAAGAAATAAAAAGAGCATTTTGGAAAATAAAAAAGGTAAGAGTTTAAGAAATTTTCTACATACCAAGTTTCTCCAATGCAAACTCAACCTCATCTACAGAAAAATGCATCATCAGTAAAGATGCTCTTTTGTCAACAAGATCTTCGTCAAATGCATCAGGCTCCTGAAGAAGAAGAGATGGCAGGGAAGATAAGGTGTTTAAGGATAACCCAAAGGCATATGAAGTACGAAATATATTAAAGATTAACACACAATACTGATAACACTTAGGCATTGAGCAAGTATTAAATTATCCACACCCACCAATATATAAGTTGAGAAGGAAGAAGGAAAGATGGTTAAAAATACTGCAATATGCAACTGGTTCACTTTGTATTAGGTTTGCCTACTCTTTGGATTAATAAAAATATGATTTATACAAAAAAAAAAGTCGAGAAAGACGAAGGAAAGAAACTGGCTCCATGAGAACTCAAAAGAGAGAAAGGGAATGGAGGCAATGCATTAGTCTGCAAACGAAGGGATTGACAGCAAGTTCATATTTTGGTCTTGGTCTCAAAGTCAATTGCAATGTTTTTGAAACCGGACCATTAATTGAACCAGTAAAGGTGAAACTGAAATTTCCAGTTGGACCGGGCAGTTCAAGTTAAAAGAGATTAAGAGGTATTTGTCTATGGTACACCTTCAAACACCATAGTAACTCTCATTTTGTTTTATAAAAATACAAATGAAATGGATCACAATTGGCTTCCTTTACTTTTTCACAGGACTTTTAACTTCTGTAATTTCAACTTTCAACACAATCCAAATGGCCAAATCACTCAAATTTCCCACTTTCCAGCATGAACTTCTCCTTCTATTGAGAGAGTCTCAAATGGACAAATTTATTATCGTCTCCAAAGCCAGAAATTTCAAAGTTTCATTGAAATCTACTCAAATAATATAATGTCAGATAGTAATTAGAATCCTTCATATCTTTGCACTGTGGTCTTCCTCTTTCGTTTTTAATGCTGTATAAGAAAGGGGGAACCGAGGTAGCATGACCGATTCAAATCTATGAAATAATAGTAGCTTGCTAAACAATAACCAAGTAATCACAAAAAGAAACAACAACAAGAAAAGAGTAAAATGCCCAAGACATGGACCTATCTAGTCCTCTAGGGAAAGCAAGAAGATGTATTAACAGAAAGTTACCTCCTTTGGTTGAATATAAGTGGAGATTTCTGGAAAACTGCCTGTATCCTTGCCACCAAACAAGCTATTGAGATAATCTGATGACTGAGATTTCGCCTTTTGAACATCCTATTTCATACCCACATTTAGCTGTTAAAAGTTTGTATCTTAAAGAACCGAAAAAAGTTCATTTCAGTTGAAACTGCATATTAACCACTAATAAAGGAAATGTTAGAAGGACCAAATCAATTGCATGAAGACATGTTCAGTTCAGTAAAAATTTATTGTCATAAACAATTGAATATTAAGATTTAGAATAGATTAATAAGACTAGCCAATAGTCATAACAGAGTTTCTATACTCTTGGTATCATTGTCATAAAGGTTTCTATACTGAAATGCACAGCAAGAAGCATATAGTATTATGAAGAGTTAAGTAATAGAAGTCATATGAATCTGTATGATTACATCATCAGAGACTATAAAATTTGGCCAGAAACAAAGGAACAACAAACAAACTGTGAGAAAGATATAATGATGAAGAAATATGTTCACAAACACTCTCAAATCACTTTTATAAAAGGAAAAAAAAGCATATATTGAATTGGAATAATGTAAAGGCTTCTTTTAAGAATTCTTCTCGAAGGGATGCCAAAAGAAAAACCGAAAATATACTGCATAATGTCTTATTACTTACAGAATATTCAATAAGAGTCTCCAGTAACAAGTCAGCATTATCTTCACCTAGATTCAAAAGAAGATGCCCATTAATCATAATCTTACAAGAAACACTTCTATATTATCATTTCTAATAAACTAGAACACTATCAGGTTACATTTGGAAACTTGGATTTAAGAGAAGGGATTTGGATTTCAATTTAGCATAAATTGTGTGACAAAGCACATGTACATAAGACCTTCATGATTACTCTCAAATTCATGGATTTGTTGGATGCATATTTAGTGGTGCATTTGAAATACCTATAGGTATTTGAGAATTTGAAATTCATCTTGTTATAACTTTCAAATCTATAAACATGTTGAATCTTAACTGCTCATGGTGTGTGCATTTCATTCTCATAGTTTATATAACAAATCAAATCCAAATCCACTCTTTCAAATTCTCTTTCCAAACATAGTATAAGAGATTTATGTATAATGATGTCATTATTTTGGCCACCCAACACATCCAATGTCCCCCTACCATTCTCTCTAAGGGGGCGTTTGTTTTGTGGATTCTTGGATTCCGAGAGAAAGTGTGATCCCTGGGAAAGTGAGATATTAGGGGAAAGCTATAATTTTCAAGGCATACAATTTGCAGATTTCTTTGTTTAGTTGGGGGGAATCTGCGTCTATTAACTCATATATTTTTACCATAATATCCTTGACAACCTTGGAAAAAACTTTGATTTTGATTTAAAAATCATAAACACAACAAATGATGCTTTTATCATCAATCGAACGAAAGATTTTATAATTTTTCATAAAATTGAAATTGTACCAATTATAAGAATACCACAGATATGGCTTGCATATAAAAATTGAAAATATTCAATTACGGTGTTTTAATGAAAGAAACATCGTAATTGACCTGGATTTTAAAATTAAAATTACTCAATTACGGCGTTTTAATCAAGAAACGCTATAATTGATTAACTCAATTACAGCGTTTTTTTCATTAAAACGCCATAATTGACTTATCATTTGTCATTTTTATTACAAATATGTATGAAAATAATAGGGAAATGTCTTCTATCAATGCTAAAAAATATTACCAAGTGTCAAACAAGTCGAGCGGATAAAATCAAGCATTAATTAGACATGGATTATTCAAGCTTTTCAATCCACAACTGAGCTTTTTGTCCTGCTATATTTTTACTAATTATATATCCACCTAGATTTGATGTGAAACACTGCAAGGCATATCATATCTGTCAACAACTCACTCTTTATTAATCAATTACGGTGTTTCTTCATAGAAAAGCTGTAATAGCTATGTTTCTCGACTCAAATACGGCGTATGTTTAATAAAAATGCCGTAATAGTCAATTATATAATAAAATTGAAAACCCAACAAAAATGTGCCAATTACTATGTTTGGATGCAAGAAATGCTGTAATTGACTTAAAATAGAATTCAATTTCAATTCTAGACTTACTTTTCAAAAGGGTAACATAGATAGAAAAATTTTTTTATTTAGGTCAAATTTGGAACTCAAGTAACTTTCCTCCTAGAATCCTAAAATAACATAGGGTCTGATTCCGGAACTTTGGGTACTGTTGGGAATTTGACATTTTCCCAAGTAATCGGATAACCCTAAACCAAACGTGGGAATCAAATACCCACAATCAAGATTCTGGTGTCAAATTTTTGGATTCCCCCGAACCAAACACACTCTAAAGATTAAATAGAATATGGATGAATGTTTATACATTACATACCCTTTTCTTGAATTACTTTCTCAACGAGAGACGGTAAAAATCCCATCCCAACGAAAAATGATCTTACATTGCTTCCGGATGAACTTGCAACATTTTCCTGCAATCAAGTAGCAATAAAAAACGAAATACAAGTTTTCAGGTATCGAGGAGATGTCAGACAAGGTAAAAGAAATGCTTTTGGTAAGGGTTTAGGCCTATTGCCGCTACCACCCTAAACATCCATTACATTGGACTCAGAGCTTAAGATAGGCAAAGGAAATTGTAAGGAGAGGGGAATCAATAGCTTGAAATGAAGATGAGAAAATTCTTATGCAATCATAACAGAGATTAAAAGAAATTACAATAAAAAAGGTGCGTCATACCCCAACATGTCGAGAGTAGAGTGCATCCTCAGGGAAATCAAAATCCAACATTTCAGGCTTTGCGACTATTGCCTTTGGCCCTTCCTGACTTGAGGAACTTTTCCCATTCAAATGTCTCGACATGGCGATGGCTCCTTATGGGAACCTATTAACTGCTGCTAAGACATACATGCAGTTGCAGAACACAGAATCAGCCATCAAATTTTAACAGGGAAAAAAAGAGAGAGAGCAAATCAGTCATGTTCATGCAAGAAAAAAGTGATTAAAGTCAACAGCCCAAACAGAATTAAGAAAAAAAAGGGAAATGATGGACCCGAGTAACAAAGCAAAGCCTCCTAATGTTGGTTATCAAAGAGACGAACTTAACTGAAGAAGACGAAGGAGGAGGTAAAGGTAAATGCGAATGATGACTGGTGACATAAGGTTGAGTTCTAGCCGATGGCAGCGGAGGACATCGGCGCCTGGGGAACAGAGGCGGGCAGGTGAAAAAAACTGGAGGAGCTATATAAACGAGCGAATGAAAAAAAATTTTTGTTTGGGTTTGGGTTTGGGTCCGCAAATATTGTTTGGTAACGACGGTTAATGTTTTGTAAATAGATCGTGTTTGTATCACATCTTTTTATGATATTTGACACGTGTAATAATAAGAATTATTAAAATATAAATATAATATATATTATAAAATATATTTAAATTTTAAATATATATTATATAATTATATTAATTTTAAATATCAAATTCAAAATAATAAACTTTTAAAAATTAAAAAATAAAATAATTATGCATAGAAGTAGTATTAATATTGATATTGTATTTATATTATTGATATAAAAAATAATTTGAAAATAATTATTAAATGATATTGAATAATTAATTATCATAATTAAAAACTAAAATAACCTTTATATGTTTATATTAAGTTAAAATAAATATAAAAAATATGTTAAATGTGTTAAATATATTAAATGTGTATTTATATTATAAGATTAAATTAAATATATTTTTTGAATCGTATCGTATGTTAAATATATATCCATGTAACATATTTTATTCAAACATATTTTTCATATCATATATATGTTTAGATATGTAAATGTATATAAAATATAAATTATATCGTGTTTAAATTTATATCAATACGAATAAATACGAAACATATTTTTTAAATATATATAATTTTTTATTATATTATTGTATGGTATTAAAAATTATCAGATTTATTTATAAATAATAAAAGTTAGATTTATTTTTCAAAAAAAAAAAAGTAAAGGTTAGATTTGGAAAAAGAATCCACACACGCACTTTCTTCTTCTTCTTCTGTACTCGTGACTTCACTGTTGAATCTCTCTCTGTTTTTTAATTTTTAGAATAATTATAGATTAGAGAGTGAGTTTGATTGATGATGCTGATATCATTTTATTTTTATTATTATTCGTTTGTTTTCATAAAATTAATTAAAAGTAAAAATGTCACTTTATATTGCTATTTCAGACAGAGAGAGAAGGTGACAATTGGCAATGCCATCAGCTATTCTATTCTCACCACCTTACTTTACAACAAAGTTGTTTACGTTGAATTTGGAAACATAATTCGAGTTTTTATTTTATGGACTCGATTTTAACCATAAAATTTCATCATAATTCTTCCCAAACCAAGTGTGTAACACAAGAACTTTAACAAAGAAAGAATTTCAAAACTATACCACTAACTCTTAACAAGGAACAATTTCCCCCTTTCCCTCCTTCATCAACTGTCAACAATCACTAACTTGTAAACAACCCACAAAGAAAAAGAGAGTACATATTTAACTCGAAAGGGAAACACTGGTAATGTTATCTTGCAAAAGAAAAAGAGATTTCTTTGTATCAATATTGAAATGCAAAATAAAAGATTACACTTGTATTCCCACAATTTCAGAAACAAAAGCAAGAAGCACCCCCCCACAAAAACTAAAACACTGCCTGTCAGTATAATGGAGTATCAATGGATTGGAAACCAGCTTTGGGTACGTAAAGACTAACGACGAAAGAAAAGTGGGGGGTGAAAAATAGCAAAAGCTGACCTGAACAACTATTTTGATTAACCAGCCTGTAACAATGAGTACGCCGATACACTCAGGTTTACAACAGTCAAGACTGCAGCATAGCTACTAGGTTTTAGTATGTTCCAGCCGAAAAATAAGCCCCAGTTAGCCATAAGACTCAGCATGATTAGCACCCTTTTTAGCAGAAACACCTCCATCAAGCTGCAGGGTCTTGGGATTAAGTGGAATAGTACCAACTGTTAGAAAACCAGAAGATTCAGTAAATCCATTGACTTTTACTGGCACTGATCCTACATTTACCAACTCAGCAGCATCAGTATTCATAGCAGCAACTGCAGCATCTGCTGAGGGTTTAGACTCATCCTGCCTTGGATTTATTGTGAGCGAGCCAATCCTTAAAGTAGATGCATCATCTTTGGACTCAATGGCAATTCGTTCTACATTTTCATTCATGGTTCTTGCATTAGTCATATCAGAATCTGCAGAAACCTGCTGACTAGATGAAGGAACAGTTCTCTTCAACAGTTCAGGATCATTTTGCTTGGTAATTCTCGCATTTTCATTCAGAAGTAGCTCAACATAGTTTAGCTTATTGGCAGGATCGAATGCAGGTGCCAGGACTGGGCTCTCAAAGCTTTTAATTAGTAGTCTGCCTTTCTCTTCCTGCATGATTCTCTGTCGATTTTCATAGTACATAAAGTCATCAAGTAAAGAGGTCTTCATTGTGATTTTTGAATACTTTCAGCATCTCCATGCCTTGCTTGTACATTATCTGCACTCGAAGAAACATTTTATAAGTAACAAAATAACAAGAAGATCTCATCAAGATCATAATCTTGGAGTAAGAAAATCAAATTTCAGAAGCCCAGATAGCCATGTCAGGACTCGGGAGATATGAACTTTTAAAAGAATATTAAACCAAATTTCTTATTGATTGTTTGCCCTCAATTAGAAGAAAGCTAAAAGCTCTGAGCATACCTCTTGCGTATCCCTGCTATTAGTCACTGGTTTGTTTTCATTGTTCTCTAATATGAGGTGTCTAAAATGGCTATTTGGAACATCTTTAATGATGTGCCACTTGACAGGGAAGCTTCCGCTCCACTTATCTTGCTGCCAAAAATCCATATCCTTCTGGAAGTCAACTGGGCCAATCATCTCCGCAACACCACAAAATTGCCCACTGGCATTAACCTGTGTGGACAAAGTATCATATTGGAGTAGTTAATATGTCAGAAATCGAATGGACAATCACTTCTATTTAAGAAAAATCTAGAATGGTAAAAAATCAATATAAGCCCCTTAATAAACAGACAGGCATAGAACTCACAGAAAAGAACAGGAAGATGGGGCAGCCACTAGGTTTCCCTGCAGCTATTTTCTGTGCATCTTCAAAAGCACTCTCCAGTTTCTTGTTCCCATGGGGTGTAGACGACCAAACATTGTATTTGATACTCTTGTGTACATCATCCTCACTATATGATTTTATTACAAAAAGCTTTGCATCAACATAATCAATTGGAAAATCATCCTTGTTATATTGGTCAGTATAAATAACGATGTTTCCTTCAGTATCACTATTTCCTGCTTTACTTGTGTAGGCTTTAACCATGAGTTGGTTTTTTAATCTGTTGGTTCTAGGGCCTCGATTCTGCTCACCCAATGTATCCGGAAATCCATGTGCATCATTGAAAACCCTGCCAACATGGATCTTGGATCGAAGCTTATCCAGGGCACCACGTCCAGAAGCACTTGATCCATAGTCAGGAAAGGCATTACCAACAGGAAGATCCGTTTTTAATTGATTACGATGAGATGGAAGTTTCCCACCAGGGATGTTGCCAATGGGCTGAATTGAACCAGAAGCAATTCTACCCTAGAAAGATAATTAGTAAATGAGAACCTTCAAATATGGTACTTGGTGACAAGCTATAGCATTTCCATCAAAATTCAAGAAAGTCAAATTCAATGTAAGTTCAAATTAGAAACTAAGCAAATGTACCTCAGGAGAGCGTGCTGAAGCAGGCCCAGAACTATCAGGAGTGCTTCCATGGATTGCAGAATACTTACTTTGTCCATCAGACACCCTGGTCAATGAATCTGTCTGATTTGGAACAGACTTTGAAGAGTTTCTGGAAAAGGCTGCAGATGCCGAAGCAAAGTTATGTTTAACTCCCCTTCCATCAGGTCTATTAGCAATTGAAGCACGAGTATCTAACAAAGTGTCTGTAGAACTATTTGGATTGCCATCCGGTTGAATGACAACAGGAACATAAGTTGGAGATATAGGATTTTGGTAAGTGGGAACGGTGTAATATTGTTGCGCTCCTACAAATGGACCATCACCCATCACAGCACCAGGTATGTAAGGATTGTATGGGTTGTATGGAGAATGTGCATATGCATAGCTAGGTGAGTAATATACACAAGGCAAAGTTTCAGTTTGTGCACCCTGAAGAAGAGAAAGAAGGCGTTAAGCAAATTTTGAAATGATAAATCATTAAAAAGCAACTTATCTTGGATGCAAAGGTATCTGTTATAGAGTTAGAAAGATTAGTTTACCCACCGCATATTGGACATCTGCACCATCTACGCTAAAAATATTCTGGTGGTCCTCCCATTCAACGGGTACTTCAAAACCTGTCCAATTGCAATCAGCAGTGTTCACTTGAGATTCTATAAGTATCACCATGTGAATACAATAAAGGCATTTAAACTACCTGTACAATAATACCCATAGTTGGTGGCAGTAGGGTAGTACATTCCCTGATCAATAACAAACTCAGGGGCTCCTTCCTGGTACATAGCTTCAACTTGTTCAAGAAGTGGACTTGTCTTATATGGCTTTAGCAGAGAAACTTGAATCTGAAATTCAATGCACTAAATGTCATTGTAATACATCTATTGGAATAACAAGAATACATAAGACAAACCCAAGCAAACCAATATGAAGCAAACAATATTTTTTTAACTGATTAAGATACCGAATAGCTACAGTCCTCAATTACTAGGAAAATATACCAGGTTTGTTTTTACATTTTGATGTTCAGAAACAATAAACATACCCATTCCAAGAATGCCACCGCTGTAAAAGTAGACAGCAGAATTTTTACACATCCACTACTGCTCAGGCAAAGCCCACTAGGGATTTTATTTTACTAGTTCAAACAAGAGAAAGTGAAAATGGACAATCATATTAATGATTAACAAATCTCAAGTAAAACTCTTTTTCCCGCTTATACTTACACAGGAGGAAAAAACAACTATATGTATGCCGGTAGCACATATCAGAGCAACAATCCCTTGATTAAAAGAGTCAAGTAAAAGAGAAGATAAAATAATCCAACGGGAATCCTATAAGAAAATCACATGGTAGGCTTCTATTTTGGTTGGTCACACCAACACCCCGCCAAAAACCCCAGGGCTAGGAACACAAAAAAAAGACAAGAAAAGAAGACATTTCAGGGGAAGAAAACACTAAAGAAAATCACATGAAAGGCAAGCAATGGCATGCAACAAAGCGGATTCCATTAAGCTATTAGATTTGGAACCTGAGAGGGGAAAAGCGTCATAAGTCAGCAACTCTTAGAAATCCGCAAAACAACAATTTATATTTTGAAATTAGTTGAAGCAATTTCAAGAAACAACTTTACAACACTGAAAGAATCAAATACCCTCTCCAAGTAAACGCATCCATCAAAAGTAACTCAATAAAAACAATAACAAGCTCAACAAAACACCACAAACCCAGCTCCAAATCAATCTTTAAATGGATAATTTCAAGTTTCCAGGTCTCCATTTATGGTAAAAAGGATGACGATCAATCAAAGTAAATCAATTTCAAGGAAAGTAAAACGGGGTAAAAAAAGGGGGTTATGAAGAGAGAATTTTACCGGAAAATCAAAGAATCAAGCCATGGTTGACCTGCAAAGCTGCTCCAGAGGAAATTCCTGCAATTTAAAGAGACAAAAAAGGGGGATTCTGCAACATTTCCTTCGAAGAGTAACCCTAACCTTCTAAAATAAAAATAAAAATATATAAAAGGGAAGGGAAACAGGAGACTTGAAAAGGGCGGTTTTGGTGTGGGTTAAAAGAGAAAACCAGAGAATTGAGTTGACGAGAATGGTCCCGATTGGTTTCGTTAATATCGAGATTGCCACTCCTTTAAACTCCTAAACAAACGCGGAAGTTGAAGCGTGGCGGTACCGTCAGGCTTTTGAGATGACAGTCCAATCATATTTTCTTTAAATTGTTTGCCGACATTGTTTTCTGAGAATGAGATTGAATTTTCCCTCTATTTATTTCTGTAGTACCCAAATTTCCCTCCTTGCTTTTTACCCAATTAAGGAAGGGAGATTTCCCTCTGAAAATTGTAGTCAATTGGGGACAATTTCTCAAAGGAATGAAATGACCAATTTAGCCTCATGCACTTCAAAAATTTTGAAAGACTTCAATATTTTAATTTAATACACACAACCTAGCAGTGATGTTATCCTTATGTTTTTTTTTTTTTTTTCTCATTTCTTAGCGACCAAGTATCCATACTGTTAACAACAGATGTTCAGATTTTCTAGAACACAAGGCTTTGGCTCCTATGACTAAAGTGTAAGAGTTAGATTTCAAATTGAAATTTCATCTTCATTATTTATAATTTTTTATTTAATTTACACAAAAAACAATGTATTTTTATTAGAAAATAATAGGTTAAAATATTAAAAAAAACATTTAAATTATTTTGTTTTTAAAATAAGTATTTATATTTTTTATATTCAAATAAATTTTTATTTCAGATAAAAAATTTATTTAAATACAAAATAAATGTTCGTAAAATTAAGAACTTGTTTAAATGTAATAAAAGTACTAAATTACAAACTAACTTGTGAATTTTTAAAAAGTATGACGGAATCAAAATGCTTGATAAAAGGTTTATGCCATTAATATAGGCAGATGAGTTTAAAGTTTCATTGGCAATATGGGAAGCAAGTGCAACAACAAGATGTTTGGGAAGGTAAATTTTCTATTTTTGGATTGAAGGTTATTTAGAAATCATATGGAATGGGTCAATGAAATGGTAGACTAAACTACCCATTTGGCAATATAATTTTTATTTCTTAAACAGATAAATGGTGAATGACAATGGGGGCAATAATTATTCCATTTGGCATCAAATATGTTACTTGATGCAATGCTCATTTTTATTTTAAATATAGGCTCCATTTGATTTCAACTGCACCTCAGTTACCAATAAAATTTGTGTTCGTTATATTTAACATTCATTTTGATGTCAAAGCTGCATCACATTTATCTCTTTTTCTTCGTTGGAGGATTTAGTTTCAATCGAAAAAACGCACTGGACTTCATTGTTGTTTTCTTTTTCATCCTTCGTTTTATATTATAAAGATAAAAATATTTTTATACTTTAATTTTTATTTTTATTTAAAAATTATTAAATTAATTAATTAATTATAATGAACAAGTTTTATTTATTATATAATAAATTAATTAATTAATAAAATTTTAACTAATTTTATAAATATTAAATAATTTAAAATTTTTGTTAATATAATTTTTACTCTAATGTTTTTAATGGTTATTTTTTCTTTTCACTTCATCTTCATCGATGTTTTTGCATCTAAACACATATCTCACTATTAATTTTAAATCCATACTATAGTAATTAATCTCATTTTTATCGTTATTTTCACTCTCACCAAAAACAATCTCATCACTTATCCAAATGAAATTATAACATTATTAGTCAGCTCAATTTTGTTATGAACCAACTTAAAATTTATTGACAATATATTCGTATGATACATAGTTTGAAATGGAAGTTTAAACAAAAAGAAAATGGAAAAAAAAAATTGGAGTTTAAGTCAGAGTGCAATTAAAAACTGAAAAAACAAAGGTGTTGGTAGGAACTGTTGTCTGATACCAATGGAAAGGAAGTTGGGAGGCCTATTTTAGTCAACAACACTTTTAAGAGCGGTGAATGAAATTAACAGGAAGGTTCCTTTGTTAGGTATTGGCTTCTGCAAGATGGATAAAATGGAATGCACTTTGTTAGTAATAATTCTTACAACAATCTATTCTGTGGAAGAAGATGTACATGCCTTGAGAAGAAAATTTTTGCAGCATTTCTTATTTCTTTTGATTTAAAAACTACTACCAATACTTAGTATTTAGTTCCATCAATGATCAACTTAAACGAATAATGAATTTCAATCCAACAAAAGTGTCAGAAAAATATGTATACAAAATGCTAAGTGCCCCTGCTTTTGGCACTTTATTCATTATGCTTAGAATCAGAATATTTTGCTCTCAGCTTCATTTCCCTGTTGAGTGTGTGTTTATCAATCTCATGTCTTAAGTCTTAGCCCTCTTCTTTTCAAAAAGTCCAAGTGCCCTAAACCTAATACTATTATTGGTTTCCACATTTCATAATACATAAAAACTAAAGAATGCAGAAGAGTAAGGTTTCAGAATTACTTAGATGACACTTTTTAGTTTATATGAGCAATAACAACAAATTTCAAAGTATTTCTTCAGAAATATAACAACTTCAGGATGCAATTATATAAATTTTTAGTTTAATCACATAAGACATCATTAACCAAAAACTAGATGAATCGCAGCAAAAGTCTTCAAGGGAATGTAGGTAGTTTGTAATGGTACACTTGGATACCAAAACAATTATTGTTGGTGATCCTAAAACAGAAATTCCAAAAAGCAGCAGCTTGTCATATCAGCTGGTCTGATTATGATTTTCGCCATTCTAAACCAGACCTTAACTCATTATCCGCATCATCATACTATAGGAAGCTGGCACCAACACAAGTTGGGTTCCAAATAGAGAATCAACCAAAACTGGATGCTAATTGCCAACCAGCAAAGACGTAACTTAGGGCTCGATCACTGACTGATGAACTTGGTCAGCACCGACATCTCCACGAAGTAGCTCAGAACTTTCAACTGCTTGTAATGGTTTTACGGAATTATTTTCAGGCAATGAATTGCCTTGTGTGCCTGGAGACATTCGGGAAACAGGAGGAGAATCAAATGCCAGCTTTGCATCATCCTTCTGGTCATAGTTCTGCTCGTTTGGCTTCTTATGTCTATCATAGCTGTGGCTACGGCTTTGACTGTGACCACGGCTATGGCTTCGGCTTCGGCTGCGGCCAGGGCTACGGCTGTAGCTACTGCCAGGGCTACGGCTGTAGCTGCGACTACGACCACGTGACAAGCTCCTGCTTTGGCTTCGACTCCAGCTCCGACTGCGGCTGCGGCTTCTACTATAACGCCGTGCTCGAACCCTGTCAGGACTTCGGCTATAACTTCTGCCCCTACTCCTATCAGCAAAGCCTCTTCTATTATCAAATCGTCCCTGTCCACGACCACGTCCTCGCCCATCAAAACTATTAAAACGATCATGCAAGCTTCTCTCATTTCTGCCCCAACCAGCATGGCCACCACCAGGGCCACCAAATCCACGTCCTCTGTTTCCACGTCCAGAAAATGGGTCACCCCTTCCTCCAGGACCACTGAAGCCACCATCCCTCATACCGCCACGCCCGCCAAAACCACCACCTCTGACACCACGTCCACCAAAGCCACCATCCCTCATTCCACCACGGCCAGAGAAGCCACCATCCCTCATACCACCACGGCCTCCAGAATCCCACCGCCCACCACTACCACTAGGAGAACTAAATCTACTCATTCCACCTCGATCCTTCCCAAAACCAGGCCCACCACGAGAAGCTATCTCTCGCACCTCAGGGGGCACATTCTGGTTAGCTCTCTCCAGAACTTGAATCAAGTCAGGGGCATACTTCCAGTCCTGCTCAGAGAAAAAGGTGAATGACACACCAGTTGCACCAGCTCTCCCAGTTCTTCCAATTCGGTGAACATAATCCTCAATGCCAGTAGGGAAATCATAATTGATAACCACCCTGTAGCAAGAAAATTTTAAGAATGTAATATTTTGATTTACTGACTAAAATGGATCTGAATGCAAAAAGGAAGAGAGAAGAACTAACCTTATATCTTTGATGTCAAGCCCGCGGGCAGCAACATCAGTAGCAACTAATATTGGGGATTTCCCAGTTCGGAACTGACTCAAAACCCAGTCCCTTTCATTCTGAGATTTATCTCCATGGAATGCAACAGCTCCAAAGTTGCGTCCAAGACTACGAGCGAGCTGGTCACACAACCTCTTAGTGGAGCAAAAAATAATAACCTTTGAACCACGTTCTTGAGCTTGGAGAATCTGCTCCAGGCGCCTATCCTTCTCCATCTGGGGGACAACCTCAACATACTGCCAAATCATGAAATGTTTATAAGCAATGGAATATTGAACGTCTGCATAAGACATTGCAATCCCAAATACACCGCCAGGAATAACTGAAAAAGGTTAATAGCTATCTACAAAAGTTAAATAACTTGATAATTTATCACTGTTTCCAAGGAACTCACACCTAGCATTTTCTCAAACTTACCATACCAACAAGAATTGACATAATTAATTAATGTCAATCTCACAAGGTAAAATCAGGAGTCAATATTAGTCAAAACAAGAGAGCGTTTTCCATGACAATCTCCTATGTATAAGAGCTACAGCAATTTCAATATTTTGAAGGTGAACCATTAACCAAATTCCAATCAAACCATCTAGTCCTCAACATTCCAAGAATAAGACTGCCAATCAATTATCTAAGAATATACCTGGGTGATAGCCTTATTGGCAGCAAGCTCGTCAACACTGCCAATGTTCACCTGGACAGGATTGACAAGGAGGTCACTTGCTATCTTTCTAACTTCTTTGGGCCAGGTTGCTGTGTACATCAGAGTTTGTCTGCGAGGAGGTATCTCATTAACAATCTTGTGGATCTGGGGCTCAAAACCCATATCAAGCATTCGATCTGCCTCATCAAGAATGAGGAGTGACACCTGCCCAAACTCAATCTTCTTCATTTCAAGGATGTCGTTTAGCCGACCAGGAGTTGCCACTACAATATCAGCTCCTCGATCTAACTCTTTCAATTGATTAGCCTTTGGAGCTCCACCATACAAACACTGAAAAGGAATTTGAGAGAATCGGAAAAACCACATTCAGTTGAAAGGAAATAATTAGCTCTGCTTGGTGTGTGTGTGTGTGTGTGTGTTTGTATTAGCAAGTATTTTATTACAATCATTTATTTTTTAAAAAACTAAAAAGAACAAGAGCAGTCAAGCCCCACCGTGCAAGAGACTCTTGAAGATCGGCCAAATTTGATGGCCTCTTCTTGTATTTGTGTAGCAAGCTCCCGGGTTGGTGCTAAAACCAACACTGTTGGGCCATTCTGAGGGTTGTTATGGCGTTGCCTCAAAAGAATAAAGGCGGGAAGCAAGTAGCCCAACGTTTTACCAGAACCAGTTTTAGCAATTGCCACTATGTCCCGACTTTGCAGTGCAATGGGCCATGTTTGTGCTTGTATTGGAGTGGGAGATGAGAAACCAGCAGAATGAATCTGAAAGAGAGTATAAAACATAGACAGTGAGTATTAACAGAATTTACATTGGATCTTATACGTTCTTAGAAGAAAATAGAGCATAAAACACCCATTTCAATTATCATGTACTTTAACTAAAAATCCATAAGTATATGGTTGCTTACAGAAGCAACTTGAGGCAACAAAAGAGGGCAATAAAGAAATAAGAGGCGGAGCCATTTAGCAAGGTCCCAGTCACATCAAGTGTGATTTGGATGAAGGGCCAACCACCCTTCTAGAAGTTGCACAAGAAAGGCTCCAACTGTCCATTTTGCAGCCTCCAAAAATGAGAATACTTGTTGCATTTGTAAGTGTACCAATTGCAGTGCAGCGTACGACATTTGCTCCTCTGGAGCAGATATCGCACCTGCGACAAGCAAAAAGAATAAATTTAACATAAATTTTAAAAAAGAAAAGCAATAATAACACCAAATGGTACAAACATCATCTCATATTTGGTTCCAAACCATGGATTTAGGGATCACAGCATCTGTAATACTTACCTCTCTCAGTATCTCTAGAGGGAAACCAGTGTCTTCAAATCTTATAAACGGTGCTGGAACATTGTCTCCCTATGCAATATAATAAACAACCAAACTTGTGAATAATCTAAATTGACAAAAGCAATTAACTCTTCACCATTAAAACAAAGACAATTCTTTAAAGATGGCAAGGAATGGAACAGCAAATTCAGAGGAAAGACGAGTAATGCACAAAGCATCAGAAGGTTTTCGAGAAATTATATTTATCCAACCCCAATTCCCCAGCAATTGGTTATTCTATTCTGGTCAACTAGTTTATGAATACTCATATATCAACTATCAGGCATTTTCAAAATTCAATAACAACACATAAAATTAGCCAGACAAGATGAAATACAGACCGTTGCCGTGACTTCATGTTGTTTGCGATATGCTTCAGCTGGAGACAGATTAGCAGTATCTGCGGAGGCAACAAACGGAGGCCTCATCAAGGCATTGTTTGGATAAGGTGGACCAGTATGACCATACATGTTATGCATTGCATGACCTCCTATAACATTGAATCCCCCACCATGACCAGGTATGACAATTTGAGGTGGCAGGCCACCCACCCTCGTATCCTGAAAAAAAAGCAGCATTATCAGAAAAATGCATAAACATATGAATTACGAAATGTCAGCAATAATCGATTAGTTGCATGAAGAATAAGAAGCATCTTTTCATGAAATAAATGAATAAATATACTTAATTTCACAAGCAATCAATTTTAAAAACTGGGAAGAGGAACAGGAGATATAATGAATGCTTTATCTAGCAAAAGGTGTAAATGAGTTGCATTTATGAACTAACATAAGAAATAGAAAAGAAATCCAGAACTAGGGATCTCAAAGTTCTTTTTACCACACACGCCAAAATGATTACCCCATCATTTCCAAACAACTCTCTGAGAAATGATGAAAATTTTATATGGGAAAGTAGGTATAATAAGAGTTCAAATGGATCTTAAATTCAGCAGACATGTGCCAAGAACAGTTAATTCCAAACATTTCCTCATCTCAGTCCTGCCTCTACATATATGCTGTCAAATCATCATTAACCCTGACCAAGAGTGTAAACCGCATAAATCTTCAGGTTTCATGCTTTTGATTACTGGAAGTTATATGATCCTACATTTATACAGGCATTTGGAAAATAAGTAATAATTGGCATTTGCACATACCAACAAAGGAGAGGTTTCCCAAATTAACCACCAATATAACTACATTATATTGGCCAAAATATATATATATATATATATATTCCAAAAATGAAAATACTAGTCGATATCTCACCATGGGTATAGCTGAAAGTGAGCGCTGTTGTGGATCCATCATTGGCCCATCTTTTCTACCATTAAAGAAGTAACTGTTTCTAGGCCTGCCATGTAGATTATCTTCATAACCGGTGTTTAAACCTGGAGGATGCATATTAGACTGCATAATGGATGGGCCCATCTGATTCTGAAACCTATGAACCTGCTGCTGGTGTACCACATCTGTTCCAGTTTGTTGTGAATTTGCCACAGAAGTTGGCTGTTGCATATTGACAGAAGAGCCAGTAAACTGCTGCGCTTGACCCAAATATAAACCTGTTTGGGGCATCTGAACTGAATTAGTTCCAGCAGAGTGGTTCTGAGAAGAAGACGTGCCCATCTGTTGAAACTGGGAAGGAGAAAACCCAGTTTGGTTCCCTAGTTGAAAATCAACATCCTCCCTTTTGGGAACTGCTGCCCTATAATCTTCTTGATTTGGATAATGCTGACCCTGGTACTGTGCACCATGTGAAGCCGGCTGCTGAGAACTTTGTTGCCCCTGTGGAAACACATCTTGTTGATATGCCATATACTGCAAATGATGATGTGCATATTCATGTCCTTGGGGTTGTGCCATTTGTGAGTTTTGATGTTGCATTGTCTGCTGCCCTAGCTGCTGAGGAATCTGATGAATGGTCTGTTGGGGCATCAGCTGCCCTGGCTGCAGGCCTTGTGGCTGTGGCGTATGCTGACTGGGCTGTTGAGACATTTGCTGCCCCATTTGAGACATCATTTGCTGGTTTGGATGCTGCATCATCTGTGGCCTATTTTGCTGTGGAATAAACTGCCCAGGCTGTCCCATTTGCGGACCTGATTGTTGTGAGCCCTGCTGGTCAGAAACCTGCACTAACATTGAACCCTGCTGCTGTCCCATTACTTGTCCTTGCTGTAGAGTTAACTGGCTCCCTTGTTGCCCCTGCTGTTGTGAGCCCTGGGCAACTTGCTTTTGGCCCATCTGTGCCACCACACCGTTAGGTTGCACTGAGTGGGCAACTGGGATTGGAGCTAGATTAGGTGTGGAAACTGCAGGCGGTGGACCAGGTGGCAAGGGTGGAGGCAAAACGGCAGGCCTTTCATACTGGGTGATATTGGTTTCAGGATTCCAATAATACAGAAGGCCAGTGCTTCCATCAATCAGCCCCTTCCAAGGTTTCGGAAGAGTAGGATCATCAGGCGCATACCGCGGGCCAAGAGTGGCTGCTGCTGCTTCTGCAGTCGACATTTGTCCAATATATATCTAAAACCACATAAAGTCCTTAGATTTAGAACTAGGAAAAAAAACCCAAACTCTAGATGGTCTAATGCCATCTCTTTTTTATCATGAACCTCACTCATCCAAAACCAATATGAAAAAAAACCCATGGAAACAAGTAAAGTTTCCCTCCAAAATCAGTAAATTTCTAATCCCATAAGAGAAAATAAAATAGCACTACATAAGCCATCGGGATGAAACCCAAAACTTAACTTGTTACAAGTAATCTGAACTAATAGTATAAACAATTAAAAGAATATATAAAATTCATATCATATCACAAAGAGATTTTCAATTAGTAGCAATTCATACGAGTCGTAATATATCAATTAATCAGACCGTAAAAGAAGAACTAAATAAACAAGAAAAGGGGAATCGACTGAGTCATAAAGAAGCAAAGTTCAGAAGAACTTGCTTACCTCTTTCACAAAATGGACGATCCTTAACTTGGAATTTTAAAAAGAAAAAAAAGCCCTTCTAAATTGAGATAAAATTTAAAAAAAAAAAAAAAGAAAAGGTGAAATCGTAAACCCTAAAATCAAAGAAAGAAAGTGAAAGAGAAATTTCGCTTCTTTTTTTTATGTTATTTCAAGCATGTTGTTGTTGGTGTTAGGGTTATGGAGAAATTATTACATGACATAAAGGTCCACGCTTGATGATGCTGAACCCTCACATGCAAAAGGATCGGACGGCAAATACTGATTTTTAGGTCCTGATGGAATAAAAGAGAAAAATGGGGGAGGAGGGCCCAAAAGCCGAATACAAGACAATTACTGTTAACAAATTGGATACTGTAATGTTTGTTACTGTTAGGTGGATTGGGCCTTCATCCCATTCCCATACAATTTCAGCCCCAATATATGAACGAGCTAAATGCTCAGTGGTTTTTTTTTTTATTGATATTACTGAATGATTTTTGGGCTTCGACTAAGCAAATGCAAAAATAAATTTCAATTACAAGTTAAAGAAAAAACCAAATTATCCATAAAAAAAGAAAAAAATTTGAAAAAACATAGCAAAAAATTAAGGATCCAGCATCCAAGTGATTATGCAAGAAGGTTGCAATGCTTGCTGCCCATGAGCTGCTACTGAACTGATGCTTTAAACGTCACTGCGATCAGAATGTCAGCTATCTTTTTTAATGTTCATCAACACATCAATCTGCCAATGCCATTCATCTGGTAGTGTTCTGCTTCTGCCTTTTGCCTTCTGCCTTCTGCCCTTGATTTGATTGACATTTTCTGCACCAACTTCCTTGCCATGCACCATCATATATGTAAAATACTACTAACTATTATTCTCCTTCAACAGCAGCACCATATAGGAGCAGTTGTCAGTACTGCCTAGCCTGAAAGTTCAGTGGCTCAAAAGTTTCAAAGTTACTGACTGTCCATTCATTAGATAAAGAAGGTCCACATTCATTTGTAAAGTAGATGCAATTGGTCTATCCAACTCCTATTTCTTTGGAACACAATTTTACCCATGCCAGTATATCCGTTGTTTCAACCTCATAATAAAATTGAGTATTGATTGTAGCGGTTCTCGAAACATGTGCTGCATCAAGGACATGAATGTATAATCTTGAGCCAAAAGGTAGTAACATGTTTAAAAAATATAGCATCCCTGATATAATAAGGCCAATCATCAGAATCTAATTGACATTTGTACCATCCTTGGGATCCTACTATTTCAGCGCCGACTAGCATAACCCGAGAGTACTAATTTATGGTATATATCTGATGTTTTAGTGAGAGGAGCCTTGGCTCCAGAGTAATCTGCATGTTTTGATATTACATAGGTTTTACTACAATCAACCAATCGTGGAATTTAAGATCCCCAAAAGTACTCCAGAGAAAAGCCAAGCCTCAGACAGCTTCAAGTTTCCAAGTACACCGTACAGACATTCTGAAGAAGCAGGCTTGTTGTTACATCACAAGCCATGGAAATCCACGAGGCTGCTTTCGAGGGGATACTTGTTTCATAACACTTCACCATGACTTGCAAACTTTATTGGAGGAGATATGCAATCAGCCAGAGGTAAGTCTTTTGGAAATCATATCTAGTTAGAATGTGACCAGGGACTCCTCGCCAATCCTGAACATCTTTTCCTTTTGTATCATCCTCTATACGTTCATGTCTCTTCTCATTGCCATTGCACACACACGCACGCACACTCAACTTGGTTAATCTTATATTTTCCTTCAATAAGAGAAACCAACAGCAGGTTTGTAAATCACTGAAACCAACGATTGATGCATTAAGACCGTAGGTTTGGGAGTCAAAGATGAATGTTTACACAAAAAAAAGATGGTAATTAGCAGAGAAATAATAAAGCAAAGAACTTTATCAAGAAATCAAGAATAACAGAATTTAGAGCTCATAATAGCATATCACTATACTCAATTTGTCCAGTGTTTTCTTAACAAATTTCATATGAATATAATTTTGATAAAATTCATGAGTAAACGAATTACTGACATTTTTTTACTAGAACTTGATCATGTGTTAATTTTATGAATGGATAAAAATAGTAATTACATCTATATGATTTGATAACTTTGACTGTATTTATCATTTGAATATTAAGAAAAAAGAAATACAACCAAGAATATATTAATGCAACCCATATGTAAATCTTCTATTGATCAAGTAAACCTAAAGCAACAAGTACCATGTCAACGAGCCACAACATTTTCTGGTTAAATATCAGTCAAAGAAGACGAGGCAGAAAGCTCTTTCTGGAAACCACCTTCACATTTCTTTCTCATCTTCTTCACCTCCTTATTTTATGACAAATTATCCGACGTAGAGCTAGATGTATTTTTGGAAGCAAGGCTTGCTTCCAAAAAGAGATTATAAGACATGGTCCAAAGTTCTTTTGCAAGTTTGGCATTATATGAAAGCATTGAAGAGTTCACAGTCCTACCCTCTCCACCAAAAAAGTAAACTCCAGATGCTTCCTGAAACAAACAAGAGCCAATTAGTCAGAAATCAGTAGGTTCACTAAATCACCTGAGATATTTCAATTTTTTCCTCTACTTATGGTGCTTTGTTTCCAACAGACAAGAACAAAGGAGGTTCATTACTTGAACTAAGTTGCAAACTTCAGCTTGGGGCTAACAATATAATTAATTCATCATTTGTGACTAATTGATATTAAGACTTCGTAAGAAGAAACTATAATCACATATCTCTAATAAAACTTACTGGCGGGGCAAGGGCTGCATCAAGAATAGAGCTGACACCATTCTTGGGTAACTGCAAAAGGCCCAAAAGCTTCAAAACTTGAAATGCCAACTTTGAAAGACACGAAGGGAGTTCCCTCATGATGTTGGTTTTTACACATCCAGGATCAGCAGCACTTCAAAAGCAAACCAAACCAAACCATATTACATACCATAAAGTGAAGCAGAGATGCCCTACTTGGAATGTTTTTCTAGATGAAGCATAATAAAGATGTTATATAACTAAAGATGTTATGAAACCCATCCAAAGATAAATGATAAGTTTCAAATGTTTCTCTCTTTGAGAGAAAACGTTTAACAAAAATTGCTTAAACATATACTTTACAGAGACATGACAAGGTTTATCCATCAAGCGGAGTTGTTGGTGGAGCGCATATGAGAAGAGAAGCAGGTATACTGTTGAAACAAAATCACATGTCATTGATAGAATCGAAATGAAAGGTAATCACAACAATCTTCCATCACAAATGACTTACCTTTTGAATACTCATAGATACGAGCAAATGGATATTGTTCTGATCTCAAGAAACGTGTCCCAGAAACAGATTCCTTGTCAACCTGAATATCAAAAACTGAAGCAAAGAGCACTAATGCAGTTATTTGCAGCAAACATCTGTCAAGGATTTCATGGGAATTGGTAAAGTGCAATAACAATCTTCCGCTCTTAACTAAAATTGCTGCTAAAGATGCAGACTGTATTAATTGTGGGGGAAATTTAAGAAAAGGCAGCATCTAGAGGAAATATGTTGAGTTTTTACCACTGCAATATTATCACCTGTAGATCATACTGATAAATAATGTCAACTAGGCTACTAACATGCATATTTTTGCAACAAAGATTTCATGGAAGGGAAGCTTGGGTTTTTTTTTCCCCTATTTCTGAAAAACTCTGCTGACCAGAAGACTATTTCCTATACAGCATCTCAAAAGATACTCACCACTTCGATGTGTAAAGGATGTGACATTTACTATCCGAGAAGGAACAAGACTTCTTTTAAGAAGAGGTAGTAGAAATTTGGTCAGACAGAACGCCCCTATGTAATTTGTAGCCATCATCCTGAGAAACGTGAGTGAACTTGTAAGAAGGAAATCAAAATTTTTTGTCTGAGGAAGGAAAAGGGACATTGTGACCACAAGGAAAAATGATGCAAAGGACAGGAAATCAGATTGTATAGTTAAATGCACATTTTATGTGGTCTCCTTCCCATAACAGAAAATATGAAAATTAAATAGATTATTCAAAATCAACAGCAATTGACCTTAATCTGCATTAGCAAGTAGTAAGAGCTTTTAGGTTAAGTTCAAATTTTACTCATAGAAAATGCAGCATATTGAACCTATTGGAACTTGGGAGATACAGGTAACACATGGTCCAACTGGTAAAGAATATTATAAATTTGTAGCAGTATGGAGCATCAGGTTTAGAGTAGTTAATTACTGATCATAGCCTTCAGGCGTGAATCGTGATGATGTTGCCAGTATCCCAGCATTATTAATCAAGAGCTGCACAGAAAAATGCATTTTGCAATCCAAAAGCCACTGCTGAAGTGAGCTTTTAAACTCCAAAATTGATTTGAACGACGACATGTCAACCTCAAAAGCTTTGACTTGGGCATCCTCATTCTGGGTTTTTATCTCTATCATAATCTATAAACAACCAGAAGTAAAAAAATTGTAAGGAGCATTATAAAATGAGAGGCCACATACAACAATAAACTTATTGTGTATATATGCATATACCTTTGATAACAAACGGGATGATCGTCCAACTGCAGAAACAAACGTAAATATATGTCAAGTGAGACATTCGTTTTAAAGACACAAGCAGGTAAAGAGCAGTCACTGGATAGCTTATTAGCAATGACAAGAAGCAAAACCAAGAATAGAACGAGATGGCACCCAATTGAAGGCAAAAAAAATTAGTAAATGAAATTTGTGGGCAGAGCATAGTACCCAGAACAACATAGAAACCTTCCCGTGAAAGAGCGTGTGCAGCAGCAGCTCCCAGTCCTGATGTAGCCTGCAGCAATGACCCAATGAAACAAAAGGAAAAAAAAAATTCAGGCCGGGGTGACAACATATGGTGAAAATAAAGAAGACTTACGCCTGTAATGACGCAAACAGGCCTCAGAGACTCAGATATCGGAGGATGACATCGTGGGTAGGATTGAGCTTTGCGAGAAAAGAGCCTCTTGCTGTGTAACTGGAAGTACGAGGTCAAGAGCGAGATTGTCCATAACACAGCCATTCTCCAAAATTGAACGGATGCAGCAAAACGTAGAGCTTCTTTAAACTCCTTTATCATGGTTACCATCTTCATTAATACAGAAATAAGATACTACAACTAGTTAAGCAGTGTAAGAGAGAAGATAGACTAAACTCAGACAAACTGAGTTCCTTTGAGACAAACTGTCGAACACGTTATACTCCAAACTGATTGTGTGTGCATTGAGCTCAAGCCACAATGGCAACTTCCAAACTTTGAGGAAAAGAATCAGCGTATTAAATTGATATTGGGGCAAGTAAAAGAAAGAAAACCTTGTTGCTTATTATGGCCATGGCTCAACGAAGAAATTGAGCGTACGGTTTAATCCGAGTTTGTTTGCACAACGTTGTTTCTAAAGAAAGAAAGAAAAACCTTGTCGTTGGACTTGTAGTCTATTTGAAAAAGATTTGTACATATTGTGCCAGAAAAGGGCAGAGTTTCTCTTAAATTACCAAAACAGGGAAAATAGAGTAAAATGTAAAGAAATGTGGCCTGAGCTTCATGTCCAACTTAAATAAAAGTAAATAAAATAACACCTCAAACTCTTACACATCCAATATATAAAAATTAAAAAATTACAAACATATTATAAAGAAGCCTCCATGTATTGCTGGAAGAAGGAACTAGAGTCGGGGAAGGCATTAATGAAACTTGAAATAAGCCGAGTTGATAAAGCCTGTCCTTGAATAAGGACATGGTGGTATCTCCCTATCAATGATAAGACGATTCTCTGTTCATCAACTTGTTCTAAAGTACCTGCAGCCACACCATGATTACAGCAAATAAATTCATAGTCAGATGAAAACTTTGTCTTAAGCAAATTACCCACATTTCCCAAATAGAGATGTAGTCGGTTTCTTAATGTTTTCAAGAAAAATAGATGATACACCCATTCCTACCATCAGTGGATTGCAAATGACTTCCCTACAAGAATGGTTACCCAAATTTAAGTAAGAATTTTACAGAGAACAGTTCATCCACAGGCTTACCCAACTCAATCTCAAGGTCTTGATCTTCTGCATCCCCTTCTTCAATAACACCATTCTCCAAGGCAGAAGCAGCTTGCGCGTACCTTTCCAGAAACTCTTCTTCAGTTTCTTCATGTTCACTCTCAGACTCCTGATACAAGAAAATGAAAAACGTATCATTGCTTTCAGAGCAATTTATTTTGAAGAAACAAAAATTCCAGTCCTAGCACAAAAGCTGGATTCCTACAAAAACCTAACTTCCCAGCTCTATGTGCCATTTCATTAGCTCCGCATCAATTAGATTATGATAAACAGTACAATTGTATGGACTAAACAAGATCCGTGTATCTCAAGAGTTAGACCTCATCATCATCTTGGATTTCTTCCTCATCGTCACCATCATTGGTATCGTCATCTTCATATTCTTCATCATTTTGTTCATCTTCCATTTCTTCATCCAGTTCTTTCAATTGTATAGATGTCTCAATCAGTGAGGTAAAGCAATCCCGTAACAAGCCACCACTTGGAATACCTACTCCCAACAACCTCTCAATCATCTTCACCAGTGTCATCACTGAGAACAAAAAACCATTAGAATTGATGTCAATTATTTTACTGGGGGAAAACAGGAAAAGGAGTGGAGGAAGTAGATTCTGGGGAGGATGTGAGGGGGTGTTTGGTTGAGGCCAACAAATATCTTTCTGATGACATAATCAAAGATAAGACCTACCACTTCTCCATCACATTAGAGTTAAGCAACAAAAAGCTGAAACACAACTATATAGATCACACTCACTAATGAATATAAATAAACTCAGTACTTGTCCAAGTTCAACAAGGGTCATAAAATAGGTACTTACCCATCAACTTTATCTCTGACTTAGCAGACAGATCAATTTCAGAAGAGCGAGTGCAAACAAAAGCCAGTGCAGATACCCAGGTTGCAAAGCCTCCATCTTCCTCCTTCTCCAGTATTGCCTCCACAGTATCAGGATAATAGAAATAGCAAGATGCAATAGCAAGCAAGAGGGGCTTCCATAGTGAACAAGGCTTGCTTCTTACTCCTTTGAAACGAGAAAATGCCGCCCGACTGAAGACAACAGCTAATGATAGCTGCACACCTTCTGTTTCACATGAATAATTTGGAACGTGTAATAGCATGTGAACACATGAGCAAGCCCTCCATGTTGCAGATGGGTATTGTAAAATGGCCTCACTGACAAATGCACTTATTGCTTCAATAATGGATCTTTGTGGCACAGGTGGAGCAGGAGCAGGTGGAATCTGTCTGACGATAAAATTCTCCAGTCCATATTTACTGTGCAAACTAACTGCTTCCCTGATGCAGTCGAAGACAGACATATCTGCCGATTCTTCCCAAGCATGCCAGTCTGAAATCAAGTCAGCCCAAACTAATAGTAATTCTGATAGTTTAAGTTCTACGATTACATTGCTTCCAGAAACAGAAAGTATAATGGATCGAAGCAACGCTGATGAATGATCTATACATGATGAAGGGGGTGATGTCTCAGCTTCCTGATCATTGCAATAATTTAAGGAGAAAGTAAATATGCAATGAATTTAAACAAAATTGACAAGTTAATCAGGTAACTTTTAATAGCAGGATATTATCATCTGATGAATAAAAAGTATGAAGCAGTAAAACAAAAATTTTTTAAGTCAATGCCAAATTTGCACCAGGAACATAACCTGACGCTCAGCTTCATGGTCACTGCAATAAAATAAGGAGAAAGTAATATGCAATGAATTTAAACAAAACTAACAAGTTAATCAGGTAACTTTTAAAAGCAGGATATTATCATCTGACAAAAAAAAAAAAGCATGAAGCAGAGCAACGCATACTGCCAAGTTTAAAGCAGAGGAAGAAAAAATTTTGAAGTCAATGCCAAATTTGCACCAGGAACACAACCTAGATATTAGTTTGAATATAAAAAATAATTCCGAAGCATAAAGACATCATAAATCAAGATCTTTTCTCTTCTTCTAATAAAATTTTGAAATTTTATATGCTTTCCATGCAAATTTCATCAGCAGTAGTCAAATATATTCATCCAATAACCCATTTAGAGACACGATAAGCTTAAGTACCTGAGCAATTCTCAAAAAACTCAAATATTACAACGAGGAGAAAACTAACCAATGGAATGGTGAGCCAAGCCTGTTGCAAGAGAGCTGATAAAGCTCTAGTAATGGCAGCTTGACCAGATGCGTGCTTTTCATTTGAGTCAATCTGTTCAAGCTCTTCGAGCATGAAGTTTTCCCAAGATTGAGCCATCACTGCTAATGCTTCAAAGCCCCGTTCAACCACCTATTAGAAATACAATTCACTTAATCAACCAAGTCAGAAATGCCCAACGACTTTCTACAGTCCACTTTCAAACACAATCTGTCAGGGATAATGAATTCAATGCTCCAAAATTAAAGCAAACACTTTTGGTTTTTAAATTCTTGGCAAAAACCCAAATGTTAGACATGGACATGCTACTTCTTTGCAATCTTAGATTCAAATCCCTAACTTGCAGAAATTAAAATTAAAAAAAAAAAGGAGTAAAATGTACCAGCCTAGCTGCACAATTCATACTTACATGAGGCCATGGCTCCAGGCTAGGATGTATGGACTTTGAGATCACATCAACCAATGAAGAAATAATATGAGGAATATGAATTATTATATTCTCATTTCCAGTCTCTACAACAGAATTGAGAAGCTGAAATAGAATGATATTTTCTTCATCTTCGTTACCAATCCTACTAATTACAACTTGAAGAAGAGGTAACCACTCAGGTGGCAGATACTCATTCTGAAGAAAACAGATAGAAAAGACAGGTGAGACATTAGCACCAAAATGAGAATGCCTTGCAACACTAAGGATTGACCAGGAGACCTACTTCAAGAAGCCCAGCGATTGCCCCTGCAGCAGCTACTCGCACAGGGTAACAAGAAGTATACTCTTTATCAGGCATTGCCAATGCCTTAAGCAAGGATGAATAGATGTCTGCACTCATCTCCTGAAATGAGTACAAACTCAGAAAGTGAGATTTATTAGTCATTGCATTTTATAAATAGTGCTCAAGCAAGTTGAAAATCAACATGATAGGGTAAGCAAACTGGTGATAGCAATCGAGTGGTTAAACTAACAAAAAAGCTTTGGTCTGATGAAAGTTTCAGAAGAGATGAAAATAGTAAGAAACTGTCTCACTTCAGGCAGACATGATGCAAGCTCCCCAAGCACCCAACTCGCAGCAGCAACCAAGTATGGTGGGCAGAAGGAAAGTGAGAACAATGGTAGCACCCGAGTATGAACCAAAGTTGTTGTACATGCAGGCTTTAGCTCCCCCAGAAACTGTTTTATCGAATGGTAGATTTCATTACTAAAAGGATTAAGGGTAAGATTTTTCAATAATGCAACAGAAAGGCTAGTTTTGCTTACATCTTGCAGGCCACCATATGCCATCAGAACACCAAAATAACTGCCATAGTTGACACACTTAATAAAATGAGAACGATTTAAATGTATGTCAAGAACTACTAATTGTGAAATGATGGGTGAAGTAGAAGAAAATTAACAACAATAACATCTTCTAAAAGGAAAATCAACCAACCAAATATAAAAAATTTATAACAAATCCTTCTCCTCCTGCTAAAGAGGAAAGATGAAAAAGGGAATAGATATATAGATAAATACAAGAGACAGAAAGATGAAGTTTTAATGAGGAAAACAGCCCTTACCTACAAAAATACAATATTAACAAGACAAATATGTGAAATATGTTCATTAACTCACTCTTTCAAAATTCTAGGATCGTAAGCAGTAGCATCTGAAGGAATGGGAAATTTTGAAAGACATGGAAGCACCAATAACTCCCCAATAGATCTCTGATTATTTTTCTTATTCTTTTCACCTTTCTTGCGCTTGGATGAAGCTGAAGAGCCATTATTTGAACTCCCAATTGGAGGCCCCTGTATGCATTAAACAAAACATTAAATAGTAATTCTATCAAGATAAAAATATCTCAAAGACATATTTTCCAAGAACTATCTAGTACCAACCTTTGACATTGAAATAACACCAAGTAAGTTTATTGCACTTTTTCTGGCTGTAAATAAATCCTCCCTCCATCCAGAAATTTCTTCCTAGATACAAATTAAAAGTGTTGATATAAAAGTCAATCAAATTGATGCATATATCATTCGATATAGTCATGATTCACTTGCTTATGACCCAACAAGAGTGAAGAAAAAGGAGGCGATGACAGACAGAAAGAAATATTAATGTACGCACAAGTTCAGATGGAAGATTCTTCCGAATGTACTCCTCTGTATCTTCTTCCCACTCTAATATATCCTATTTGGGAGAAATCAAACACCAGAAATCCATTAATTAATTAA